GGATATAAATCCGAAAATAAATAATTTTTTAAAAAGTGCCTGGTACTTGGGGTGGGCATGCATCATGGAGTGAACCCGGCTTCTGTGAGGGGCCCCCGCCTTCATCTCCACCACTGCAGGTGCAAAAGCAAAGCCACGGTTTGCCAGAAAGTAGAGCGGGGGCTGCTCCCTGGCTCCTGGCCTACGTGCCGCCAGCAGCCGCGCCTCTGGGCCTGTGCGATCCGTTGTCCCTCTGCCGGAACCCCAGCCTTTCCCGTTCCCCGTGGAGGATGTCATTTGCAGCACGTTAATGAGGGTTTTCCCATATCGGGTGAGTGCCCAGCCAAGGCGGAGATGCCGCAGTTCCTAATTCAGTGACAGCTGCTCTGTTGATTTCCTCCCCAATGAACCCTGGACTCCAGCCAGCAATTTCCCGAGCAAGCGCCTGCGAAGTCTAAAGGAGGCCTCAGATCCTCTGTGCAAAGAAAGTCTGTTTCAAAGCAAACGTGTGCAGGGGAAAGAAACTCGGCCTGCCTCTTCTACCAAGTCATGGGCATCTGCCCTTGGTCCTTTGTGTGACTGAAAGGAGACGGGCTGGGTTCAGTTTGCAGGGCCTCCAAGTCTGGCTGAGGAACATGCTCAGGTGAAGGCCTGAAGTACAGCTATAGGGCAGTGCGACTGGATGGAGAACCAGCCGTGCCTAATAAAAGCCTGCATTCTGTCCTAGCAGACAGACCTGGCTCCACACACACTAAAAGCCCTTGAGCGCTGAGCAAAGCTGTCGGAGTTGGACATGAGGCACCTTCCTCCTGGCGTGGGCCCTGCTGTTGTGTGTAGCCGGAGGAGTCAGGTCCCCCACCCCCTTTGCCCCATAGCGGGAGGGGATAACGCCTCCGGCCCTCACAGCACACGGCTGTGTGGACTGCAGAATTACCGTATTTTTCGCTCTGTAAGACGCACCTGACCATAAGACGCACCTAGTTTTTAGAGGAGGAAAACAAGAAAAAAAATATTCTGAATTAAATGGGCACATAATCACAGGCACATTCCCCATCACTTCCCCATGGGCTTCATTAAAAGACGGGTTGCCATTTGAAAACACACACCGACCTGTGATTAACAGCTCTCACCTGCGCCGGGGGGGGCGGAGCAAGGCGCACCAAGTGTGTGCCTGCCAGGTGGTGCAGGCGGCCGGCAGCGTCCCAGGCGTCGGGCACACACGCACATTCGCTCTATAAGACACACAGACATTTCCCCTTACTTTTGAGGGGGGAAAAGTGCGTCTTATAGAGCAAAAAATACGGTGTGTGCTGCTTAAGGAAGTCTGCTCCTCGTGGCTAAGTTATCGCAGGTTTCAGTTACATGGAGCAAGGGGCGCCCCCTTCTTTATGTGCCCACCTGCCCCTTGGGACCTGAGGCAGAGGTCCTTCTTGGGGATCCCTCATGGGAGGAAGAGTAGCACCCCCAGTTTGGAATACGCTCCCCAGGGCACCATTACTTTATTCTTTTTGGCGTCGGGTGAAAATCTTTTTATTTCCCCAACATTTAATTAGTTTTATCTTTGATTTTATCCAAATGGTTGGACGCAGTGTGTTGTTTATTGGTATGTGGTTGGTTCTGTTTTGTTTTGTTTGTATGCTATCCAGAGATTCTAGTATCGAAGGGCAGATAAAAATTGTCAGTAAATAAATAAATTTCATTTAACATGTTTTAAAGACAAAATAATTTTGAGGTGCACCCTTAACATCCCTTTAGTATGCATGCCAAGTTTCAGAGGGCTAGGTTTTGAGCTCAGGGTACAGATAGACTTCCTGTTTTGCTATAAGTAGATATCACGAGTGCCATAGTTTAGCCTCTGAAGGCTAATTGAACACACACAGACACGGGTTATAGAAACAGAGCCAGTCAGAAGGGGTCTCCCAGGCCATCTAGTCTGACCCCTGACTCCAGCCGGCTCCACCCATGACATGCCTGCCATATGCATTATAGGATCTCTTAGCTCTGCATTTGATCAGCCCTGCAAAATATCAAGGTAAGCATGTGCTGAGCACTTTCTTCTCACCTCTACCAGAGCATAAAGGGCGACATCTTAGCAGGGTTGAGATGTGGGTGCCGGTGCTCCCTTGTTTAGAAAGCGCATTGCAGGAAACCCAATCTAAAATTTTGGCGCACGGTCTCCTTCGACCTCAAGCTTCAGTCGAGAGGATGACAAACAGAGCTGATCCCAAGGGGGCAAGCAGCCGAGTTCTCTGGAAGGGAAGGTATTGGGTCATAGGGCCCAAAGCGTCTCTTCGCCTGGTGCTATAAATAGGCATTCTGCTTGCTCACGGCCTGCTCTTTGGAAGGTGAACGGCCTGCATTTGGATGTTTCTGCCTTCTTCAGGCTGGGGGGTGGGGGGTCCTAGGTACCAAAAAGATGTTGGATTCAGGCAGGTGAAAAAGCTTCTGCCAGACTGTCCATTTCAACACTCACTCAAGACTGGGAGCATAAAAGGGAAGCGTGGGCAGGCATTTGATTTCCCTATTAAAAAAAAACAACTTCAGAATAATTTGGTGCGGCACAAGGAGCAGAAAGGCATCTGGTCCATGAAATCAGATGCAACAGAAGTTCTCTCGGCCCCGGTCCTGTTTTTCAGCCAGCAGGATGATGGGGAAGATGGCGTCCTAGAGATTCGGTGCTCTAGTAAGTTGCTAATTCTGACAACCCTATACTGGAAGGATCTCTTGCTGCATCTAATGTCCAGAGAACAGTATTTTCAACAAGCTCAGGGATGCACAGGGCTTTTGTGTACCTTCAACACTCCCCCCCCCCCCGCAGCCCTTCCTGGCATGCACAATACGTGAAGAACTCTTCAGTTGACCATAGTTACCTGTTGTGTCAGAACTGCATATCTGTGATGGCCAGCTTTAGAACTAGCCAGGATTCTAGTCCTGATCCTAGTTTGTTACAATCCTGGTCAGTGCCGCAGCTGGGTTCTTATAGCACAGGGAACCCAGAGGTCGCAGAAGATGCTTGGGTTTAATTTTGAAAAGAATTTGTGCTTTTTGAAGGGCTCTGTGTTCTGAAGTTTGCTTAAGGCAAAATGTTGATTTTGTTGAGAGCAGATCTGCGCTTTGGAGTTTCCTCCATCCATTTCACCTACTTTCCCACCAGCGGGACAAAGAGAATTGGTCCTCGGTGGTTCTCTGATCGTTAAGCGATGATGTAGCCATTGCTTTGATGAGGGGGAGCAAAAGCAGGTGGTGGTCAGGAGAAGGTAGGTTTGTTTTGTGGGAGGGGACCCTTTGAGGATGCTTTGCCAAAAGACCCCCCGCCCCGAAACCTGTGGCTGGCACTCATGCACATAAACTCCGGCCTTGCAGATGCTGTTGATGGTTTCATTTTTTCCAGGGCTCCACTGAGTCCTGTCAGAAACGGTCTGTGAACACGTGACGCCCACTCCCCTAAAATAAAAACAAAGGTTTATCCGCCTTACCTACTCGCTTCTTCTAAAAAGACAAATGTGGACCCAGCCATCCTCCTTGCTCTCTCTCTCCTCCACGCTTCTTTCTTAAGTTCACATTCCTGCTCTCTCTGCAAGCTGGGGGGAAATGCAAGCATTTTTAACAATCGCTTTTCCTCTTCGCCAGATCCTCTCTCTGTCTCTGGAGCTTTGTTCCTCTTTATATTTGAACAGAAGTTTTGCTTCCGAACAGAAACGGCACAAGGCTGCAATGCGTTGGCGAGGTTACGTGGTTTCCCCTAGCTTGGAGCATCGGTTGCTTCCGCAACTCTTGCGTGACTTGGCAGGCCACTTCATCACCTCACGATTTAAAATGCAGTCATGTTTGTAAGAAATGCACCCTATTTTCATTGCAAGCTTTGCTGATTAAAGCCCATCCTCCCCAAGTAGCATCAAGGAAATCCATTTTCTTTTTTTCCCCCCAGCCTGAGGCCCTTTGGCCGGGTTGGGCTGGGACTCCCATAATCCCCCACCAGCAATCTGAAGGATAATGGAAGTTGTAGGCCACATCTGGAGCGTCCCCCGTCAAGGAAGGCTGTCATAAAGTCCCGGATCTGCCCACCCACGTGCTGTCTGTGCTCCGTGCGCCAGCGATTCTCCAATAGATCCGCCACCGAATGCATTGACAAAGAGTGTGGAAATCTGCATAAAGCGTGCCGGTGCTCGTTTGCAGGCATAAATGTGATGCGGAACAGATTTTCATCGTTAAATGGCAATCCTCTGTGTTTTGCCCTGTTTCGGAAGATTTTGAGATTTTTACCTGGATGGGTGCCGACTGCACCACTACCCAGCTTTGCTTTTGGATGGGCTTATAAGCTTCAACTGGGCTTGGACTTCAAAGAGAGGACTGGCCCCGACAAGGCTTTTGATGACGCCCTGTCCCCTTGCTGCATCGCGATCCCAGTTCCTCAGTTTCAAGTGGCGAATGGGCATTTTCAGTGCAGCCGCTCGAAAGCCGGTTCCCGCTGCGTTGAGCCACCCGCAAGTCCTGGGCCGGGGGTTTGTTGCTTGACAATATCCCCACCCTGAAAAAAAGATTTTTTAAAAGCTGGAGTTTGATCCGTACAGTGACTAACCCACGTTTTGAAGGGCCCGAGTTCACAGGATGCATCTGTTAGCGTTGGAACTGGAGGGAAACCTCACCTTTAAACTTCTTTTTCATCCAATGTCAAGCAAAGGGGGCTGACATGACTCTGTTGCTTCCACTAAATAATGCCATACGGCAGTGATGGCGGATCTTTTAGAGACCGAGTCCCAAACTGCACCCCAAAACCCACTTATTTATCGCAAAGTGCCAACACTGCGATAAAACCTGAAAACTGAGGTTTTAGTTTAGAAAAAACAACTCACAGCCTGTCCAAACAAATCTCTCCCTCCCTCCCTCCCTCCCCCCCCCCCCCCCCCCCCCCCCGGCAGCACCCTGACCGGCCATGCGAAAGCTCGGACGAGTCGTGGCTCGTGACGTCATCCCCTGGCGCCGCTACTCCTTTCCGAGCACGCGCATGGCCCCTATGTGCGCTGTTATCTGTTGCTCGGCTGCTGGGGCGATGCTGGGGCGACTGGGCTCGCGTGCCGGCAGAGGGGGCTCTGGGTGCCCGCTGTGGCACATGTGCCGTAGGTTCGCCGCCACTGCCTTACAGTATTTTATTATCTTGCTTGCCTTGCTTAGGGGTCCAGGCCCTTTTGGGTCAGTGAGCACAGGTGGACTTTGGAGTGTGTTGTGGGCACTGTCACAAAATGGCTGCTTTGGAGTTGGCTTGCTGATTCCTAAAATGCTGCGTTGGTGGGATGGGCTGGTCACAGAACATCCATTTTCCCAGAAGTCCATGGAGATAAAAAGAAAAAAAAAGAAAATTGACTTATCCAAGAATCTTCAGATAAAGCACAGGTGGTTCCTGGGCACCAAAACAAAAAAGGGATTGTTTTGAGCCCAGATAATGACGACTCAGCAGGGACCCAAGGATGTGTCCACGAACCCATGAGCACCACGCTGGAGACTTCAGCATTGCACCAGTTAAAGCGTTCAGCACAAGGAGACTCTTTCCTGAAAGTAGTTTATTTTTATCTTGGTCCTCAGTCAAAAGGATTTACAATGAATCAGTAAGCAAGATAAACCTCTCCTGCAGGCTTACAGTCTAAGTAAGTTGTGGCACACGAGGAACGACAGAGGAGGAGGGAAGAGGAAAGCAGAATTTTATCAGGACTAGTGGAATGGCCCTGCTTAACTTCTGCCTCCTGGGGCCTGGGTGCTAGGGTGGGACAGAATACCCAAACCTGGCTCTGATATTCCCTTCAGATGCTCCTCTCTCCCGCCTTCCCATGGAACAGGTGAAGGTCAGCACAATTCTGGGCCAGATAGAAAAGTTAACAGCCTCCTATGCCCGCTCAGTAGTTCATGTACTGCAGAAATCTTTAATTCTTTGCTTCTATGGATAGACGTATTAGTATTTTTCCTTCCCTTTATAGTACTGGCAGCAGTGACCCTTACTGCATTGTGAAAATTGACAACGAAGTCATCATCAGGTGAGTTCTAAACAGGTTCGAAACTAAAAGTCCTTCTATTCCATAAGGCATTTAAAAAGACACAGTGTTTCTGGCGATAATTGCATTTTTTGGAAGTGTCTAGTCTGTTCTGTTTCATTTCTTTATTTACAGCAGTTACATGTTTAGTTGTAAGCTGATTTGTGCTGGATTTTAAAATCACAGAAAGGTGGGATCAAACTGTTGGAATCAAACAATATTCAATTAGGAACCTGATGGGTAATGAAGGCTGACAGTGGGCATGGGCGGCATAGAAGTCGTCGTTTTTGCCCCATGGACCGGCTCCCCAATATGTGCTCCTGCAACGAAATGTTGCAGCATGGAAGGAGAATTCCAGCGCTGGCCTCTTCCCAAGCCACTCATTCCCCTTCCCATTTCCAGAGCACGAATGCTGCCTTTTAAGGTAAAGTTGGTTTACATCAAAATAAAGCCTGAGGCAGCAGTGGGAGCCTCATCCTTTAATAATAAAAGCTAAATCAAAACGGGGCGTGTGTGGGAGGGGGGAGGAAAGAACAGCCGTTAAGAGAAGAAGAAAAGAAACTGGCGCCTCTCCTTACTGAAAAGCAACTTGAAATAAAAAGGTTTTTTGACTGTGTGCTGAACTTTCTTGGAGAGGGGCAGAGAACAGCTTTTCCCTGGCTGCATCCCTGCCCATGCTTTGGGTTAAAATTCCCACCATCCCTGGCACTGGCAATCTGTCTGGGGCTGATAGGTATCTAAAACATCTGGCAGGACCCAGGTGAAGGAAGTCTGGTCCGGATAATAATAGTCCAAGCCGATGAAAGCCCTGACTTTGGCATAAAGCCTTTTCATTCGGTGATTTGGGATTTTCAAATGATGGAAGTGTGGTGGGAAGATGCTGCATATTTCTTGGCAAGGTGTCTATCCAACTATATTTCTTGAATTACCCCACACCCTTCATAAAGTGGATTCATCCAGCGGCTGCTGAGGTGCCACCGCTGGGAAGACCCTGCTGTAACGGGCTCATGCCATGGCCTGAGAAAGATGCATCTTTTCCCTGGGGCGAATCTAGCATACGGACACAGCTTTTGCTCTCAGCAGGATCCTTTTTGTCTGTCTCATCCTCCTCCAGGACGGCCACAGTATGGAAAACCTTGTTTCCATTCTGGGGCGAAGAATACGAAGTCCACCTGTCACCTAATTTCCACTGCGTCTCTTTCTATGTGATGGATGAAGATGCGCTAAGGTACAAGATCGTGTGGACTTTCCTCTCTGTGCAACACCTGTAACATCATTTCCAGCTTGCACCAAGAAAAGCAGGCTCAGATCCAGCCCAGAGCTCAGGTGCCACCCTCTGGTGCATTTAATGCAGCAGTTTTCTGCAAAGGGGAGCTGAATTTCATCTCAGAGGCAGCCATTATGCCTACCTTGCATCTCCATAGATCTGTCTCCTGTTTGATGCTGTATCTCTGGCCACCTTCTCTCAGGGCCCTGTTTTTCAGCCTCTGGTGTCCTGCGATGGTTTTGTCTGCAGGAAAAATGGTGGGGAAACAGGCAAAAGGTTTTAAGGCATTGTTTAATCTGCTGGAAACGTCAGCAGGTTGCAAAATGCAGCAGCTGCCTCACAAACAAACAACCTTCCAGGCTGTTCCCAGCGGCTTGGGGTTTGTTTAAGGCCTTTATAGTCATTTTCAGATTGCCTTTCAGAGTGTCTCTCGAGACAGAAGACCAGATTAAATGTAAAAAATAAAAATGCAGCATCCACCACTTTCAAGGGATTTTCCCTCCAGGGTCTTTGCACTTTTGCAGACCTGAATGTATTTATTTTTAACATTCATTAGTGTTGGTACTTGTAGTGTGAACATCAGAAATGGGGTGCAAATGCCTGGAAGGCCATTTTTAATTTCGTTTGGCCTCTTAGCTCCCTAACCGTGTGTTTGCTTTAGAGCAATATATCAAAGTAACAGTGCAAATATTAAAACACTGGCAATAAAACTGCGAGCGCTGGTTAGAACCTGATTTAGTTAAGATTTCAAGAGGGCCAGGACGGGGAAAACTTTTAAAAGGGATCCCTTCCTCATACTAAGAGGACGCGAAGAGCTGCTCCAGAGAAGTTTCTTTGACTGGTTACTGGTTCTGGGTTTTTTTCCAGCCAATAACCAAGGCAAAATACGAATTCTTACCCTCTACAAATAATATTTTCAGCTCCAGGTTATATCTATGTAGTCTGAAATGCTTGGGCATTTCAGATTTTTATTAACCTGAATTCATCATTTAAATCATTTTAATATTGTTAATTCATTTTTAGTGAATTACAATTAACTATAAGATAAAACCAGGAGCAAGCATAGAAAGGTAAAGAATGACAGAAGGAAGTGTAAAGGCATTCATACCATGGATATTGCCACGTGTTTCGTTAGTATTTTGCTAAAGAGAGTTGTACCACCATATAATAAACCCCAAATGTTATTTCCACATTAATGTTCAAGGGACTTGTTTATTTGACTATTATTTTAGAAATATATGGCTCACCTTTTAGTCCAGATGGAGCTCTTCAGCAAGCTTACGTTTAAATTTAAAACCATTTCAAAGCTCTCAAAATATTGCGGTGGTTGTAACTTCTAAAGAAGTACCAGAATTCGAATTCTAAAAAAAGTTATCAGCAGCCTTTTGGGTTCCGCCCGACCGGACATGGTTCAGTTCTTCAGGCCGCATATATGCAGACTATCGGTCTGCTAACTGAACTTGCATTTGCTTTTCAAGATTGCAGTACCTCTTGTTAGCTGGAAGAGATGGGAATGTTACTCGTTCCTTCTGCGGAAAGGCTGTGTGGTGTGAGAAAGATACAGCCATGTTTTGGCATGGTACGGACGTTCAGACATCAGTATTTTACCGCGATCATTAAATACTCTCACCCGAAATGTTTTGAGAGTGCAAACTTGTACCACTGGTGCGAAGAGTTCCTGTTTCATGACAGCTTTTCTAGTGAGTTGTTTTCTCTGTGCGCCCATGTTGGGTGTTGGTGACGGAGAGGGAGCTAACAGGAGCAGACTTCCACCAAGAAAAATGCCCTGCGTTTTTGTCTCTTTTCCTCCCACCAGCCGAGATGACGTGATCGGGAAAGTCTGCCTCAGCCAGAGCCTGTTGATGGAGTCTCCCAAAGGTGAGCGATCGGCCCTTCGTCAGGAAAGAGTTTTGAGTGAGACAGTGGATCAGAGGTGTGCTTGGCTTTCTCTTCGAAGGCTCGGTCCTTTCCGGGTACCTAAAGGCAGTGGCACTGCATTTCGAGAAGCTGGGCCAGCGTCCTGCTCATGGGCTTCCTCCTCAGTGGGCAACTTGAGACTGTGCCTCGTAATTGGCCACAGAATAAACCACAACGCAGAATGGGAACTTGTAAGGTTCCAGACGTTTTGGCATCCATCTCCGCTGCCTGGGTTAGCTAGGCCTGTGTTAGCAACTCGCCCATCCTTAACAGCTTTTAGTCCGCCGTGCCTCTTGTCATGGATGTGCATCGATGCAGAGGCATAGACAGAGGCACAGCAACAGAGCGAGTCAGAAGGGGCGTCCTGGGCCATCTAGTCTGACCCCTGGCTCCAGCTGGCTCTATCATGTGCTTGTCAAAAGTTGAATCCCACGTTTTGCCATCCGCATTGCATGCATTTATTCGTTGTACTCTGCCTTTTCCTCAAAGGAGACAAAGGTGATACAATTCACTGCTTTTTAGCCTCACAACATCCCTGTGAGGTAGGTTAGGCCGAGTGGCCTTGACTAGCCCAGAGTCACCCAGGGAGCTTCGTGGGGACTCGAACCCAGCTCTTCCACATCCCAGTCCATCACTCAGACCACCCCGCTCGCCCCCTGCCTCTCCTCCGTGCACTGACTCGTTCTCCCCGGTGCACTGCGGAGAGGTGGGCAGAAGCAGATCATTGTTATAGCTTTGACGTTCATCCTGGCTTGGGCTAGATCAGAACCCGGGACTCCTTAGCCAGGCCTGCTTCTAAATATTTCTTCGCCATATTGTTTTTTTCTCCAAAGTAAGGTTCCCGGAGCAGCTTACAAAGATCCCTAGCAAGCTGGCCCCTGCCCTCGGGATTAGAAGTTGTGGCAGAAAAGGAAAAGCATCTGGAGGGGAGAGGCAAGCAAGAGCTACATAGTGCCCAGCTGTTGTTTCCCGCTGATAGGAAGAGGCGTGGGGACTTGGGGTTGGCCCAGCTTCATGAGCCCGAATAAAATGCCAGGAAGGTGTTGAGCCATCTCCACTGACCTGGAGTGGTTGCAGTCCCTGCTGGGTCAGTCCCCCTCGGCACGCGGCTTGGGTACCTTTTGCTTTGCTTTCTCTCTCTGGTCAGGTTATAGTGGCTGGCTGAGCCTCACGGAGATCGACCTGGACGAGGAGGTGCAGGGGGAGCTGCACCTCCAGATCGAGATCACCGGCAGCGGTGCGGCGAGGAAGCTGCGTTGCACCGTGTTTGACGCCAGGTGAGGCTGGGGAGCGAAAACCACAATTGGAGAGGGAACCTGGCCTGATTTTAGCTGCATCTAAAACGAGATATGCTGCAGGAAGAGTGCAGAGACCGAAGCAGAAGAGGCACTCTTATTATGAGTACTGGTAGTATTACATTTATTTCCCGCTTTGCTTCGTCTTGGCCAAGAACCGAAGGTGGCTTACAAGTGTCTTCCCGCTGGCCCTTTCCCCCACAAACTCTCGCCTCGTGTGCCTGCCCTGGAATTGCGAAATAGGAGGCTGTTTGCAAAGTCAGTTGAGTTCTCAGAGAGTCGTACTTTTGCATATTAGTTGGTCCCTGTGTGGCAATAATGCCGGGGAATATCGAAGGCGGAAGAAGACGGGGAAGGCGACGGAGCCGCAGCCTTGTGTTGGCCCAAGCTGGACAGGGCTGTCACTGGCTGGACATCCTCGTTTGGAGGAGGCTCGATGGTGGCCCGACGGGACAATAAGGGGCATGCCGTGATGCTGAGCAGGTGCGAGTGGCCGAGACCGGCTGTTGCCTTTGTCCCTTGCTTCTCCCTGGCCACCTGGCAGGTAACCATGACACACAGAGGTACCACTGTCCCTCCGTGCTCTTGTCCCTGTCCTTTTGCTTCCAGCCCACCCAGAAGATCAACCAAGCCTTTCTCCGGGAACGTTCCAAGCCTTTCTTCCCTCTCTAATTACATGTGCCTTTAATCGCAGAGGGATTGGTTTTGACGGCAAGGCAAGGACTGCACCGTACCTTAAAAACGAGAGGCTGAATCGCTTAGGAACAAAGAAACTTTGGTTCTGGGTCAGATCAGCCATCCTTTGAGCATTTCAGTGATTCTGATGTGTGTCATGCAGTGCTTTCCCCGCGGGGTTCAGAATGCTTTTGTTGCCCTGGCTGAGCAAGGAGCAAGCAGAGGCAGAGACGGAACGGCGGATTTGAGGTTCTCTGCTTTGAATCACACCTCCCTGACCTGACCAGAGGCCCTGGGACCTCCGTTCTCCCTGCATGCAATCCAAGGGGACCCTCAGATTTGCTTCCCTTGCGGGCTGCTGGACGGGATTAAAACTGCACCCGAGGATTTGGTAGTGCTGCTGTCGCTGTTTTTCTTGCTATAATTGCAAGCCTGCCAGGGAGGCGACTGTGAGGACTCCAGGCATACAGGGAGAAGAGTTGGTGGTCAATACCCCTCGGAGTTCATAGTTCGTGATTTCCTGTCTTTTGGGCAGAGTTTTCCCATCCAACTATCTCTCCTGCAGCTCCGTTATTGGCAGTAAAGGATTTAAGCTTAAACACTCTGCATTTTTCCGTATTTGGTCCTTCCTGTTCCACCTTCACCGGATGTCGCCCCTGGGAGTTTTTCTGAAATGGAATCCACCTGGCAGACTGCAGAAGTCTGACAGTCTTGTTTAAAGGCATCTGCTGAGTTTCTAAAGGGAAAGGGCAGTGCGGTGTAGTGGTTAGCATTCAGGAGATCTGGGTTCTGTCCCCCTCCTTCGCCATGGAGTCAACTGGGTGACTTTGGGCCAGTCACTCACTCTTAGCTTAACCTCCCTCACAGGGCTGCTGTGAGGGTAAAATGGAGAGATGGGGAACCTTTCAAACTGCCATGAGCTTCTTGCAAGAAGAAGAAACGCAGAATATAAATAGGTGGTGGTGGTGGTGATAAAAACAGTAGCGTCTGTTTGCTCCAGTGTCAGTTGAGCAGTGTTTCCACTCTGGCTTTAGCCCAAACTTTTGAGGCACCATCCATGGTGCTAAATGTATTTTGGGGAGCCGGTGGGAGGGGATCCACCATCCTTTAAAGGTTCGGCTGCAACTGAGAGTAGATACACTGCCCTGCTGACTTGGGAGCTCCCAGCTCCACTTGGATAGAACTCTGGTGCAGACGTCTCTCCTCTTTCGGTTCTGCATGGGATGAAAATCCCCAGTCCAAAGTTGGCATGAGCAAACAAAAGCCCAGAAGGAGCCCTCAAGTTCAGCCCAAAGTTGGCTGTTCCAGCAACAAAAATACGAACCCAGAGGCTTTCCCATCCAGGAGCTGTGGGACTTGGAGGCCAAAGCGATCAGCTTCGTGCAAGCAGCAATCCTGGGCGCACGAGTCAGAGCTGCATTCCAAGGAGATGCGCTTTTCTAATTTCCTTCTCGGTTTCCGCCAAATCCTTGCAGGAAATAAGCACCCCATGTCCTTTCATTAAATTAAAACCCAAAGCATTCATTGCAAAACATAATTTCCAAGTGCAGAGCAATTGTGTGTTAGTGTGTTTCTCTTTGTAAGCTGAAAAGGACACTCCTGCGGGGTGGACAGGAAGGAGCAGGGTGAGAGGAGGGATCTGAGAAAGTTTTCGAAGATTTCTTTCAAAGGGAATGAAAAAGGGCCGCATGCACACTTGTAGGGAGCAGTTCTGGAGCCGAGCGGCAGATGGCATGACGGAGGTGGTGACGTCTTGTGCCATTTGTGGGGGCGGGGGGGCGGTTTGCCTGGGTTCGTTCTTGGTTCATGCTCCTCCTTCCAAGCCCCCGCACATTCTTGCTCATTCTCAGCATCGCTGCTGTTTCCCAAGCTCTCTGTACAAGATCTTGCTTTCTGTTTTAGAGGACTGTGCATTTGCAAGCTCTGATGGAGCAAGAAAGCTCTGTTTCCGTGCCCTTCGCAAATTTCAGGGAGATCCGTGGATGCAGAAGGATGGCCTGTGCTGGCACACTCCATGTTTCAGGAGATGGGAAGAAGATGGGGTGCTTAGAGCTGAGAATTCCCTGTCCTTTGCTTAGGTGGCCAATGGCCAGTCTAGGCTCAGGCAGGCTGCTGGGCCACGGGAAAGTAGCTTCTTACTAGCCTCTAGATCCCATCCTTGCGGCATCCCTGCAGGGTAGGCCAGGGGGAAGGCCACTCTCCCCGAGGCCAGGGAGAGCGGCCTTCATTAATCGGAAGGGACATCTCTGCTCCCTCTGTCACAGCAAACGGGCATATTCCTTACTTCCCGTCTCTCCTTGTTTCCTCGCCCCTGCCAGGGATTTAGCTCGGAAGGATCGGAATGGTGCCTCGGACCCCTTTGTCCGAGTCCGTTATAATGGCAAGACCCATGAAACCTCGGTGAGTCCGGGCTTTGGGAAGACATCGGGGTGGGGTGGGCATTTAGGCCGGGGCGACTGCTACCGAGAAAGGCGAGTCTCTGATCCCCAGCCCGGTTTTACAGCCGTGTTTAGAATTGGCTTCCGGGAGGCTGGCATTGCTTTGGCTGGGTTCTCGCTGCAGGTGATCAAGAAGTCCTGTTACCCACGGTGGAATGAGACCTTTGAGTTCGAGCTGGACGAGTCCGCCACGGAGAAGCTCTGTGTGGTGGAGGTGTGGGACTGGGATCTCGTCAGCAGGAACGATTTTCTGGGAAAGGTAAGGGCAGAAGAAGGGGGGGAAGGGGGCCCTGGTTCCAGTGCTCCGCTAGGATACCAGCACCTTGGCTGTTCACTCTTGCTTGTGTTTGGTGTATTAATGAATTAGTTAATTCACTAGCTCATTTATATACTGCCCAGTACCCAATGTTCTCAGGGTGATGCGCAATGGGATTTATTTAGAAGTCCTAAATTTAAGTCTAGTTTTTTTGGGCAGGCGGGAGGAATAACATTCCAAAACATAAAAGATTAAAGATCAAAATGTCTTTAATCTTTTGCATTTTATCTGTTGCATTTTTAGAACACCATAGAAGAGCAGAAGGTGCACAGGTGAACAGTAACAGAAAAAAGCAAAACGCTTGAACCCCAGTGCGTTGCTTACTCAGGGTGCGCAGAGGCGGACCAGAGCCTAAATTAGGACAGGAATTGGTGCGAGGTTGATATTTCTGGGAATGAAGTGCATAACCAGGGCTCGAGAGGTTTACGATTACACCTTCCATCTTCCCCGGCTGGAGATGATGGGAGCTGTAGCCCCGATTTAAATGGAAGGCAGTAGATGGAGGAAGGCTGGTAGCGTGCCTGTTAGACTGAGCCTGCCATCCGCCTCTGCCTTGCTTTTCAATCTCTCTACGGTAGTTGGTGGTCATTTAAAAATAGGAGGCCACCACAAAGAAGACCCATCCCTATTCGCCCCCCACCCATAAACACAGATGGAACAGCTGAGCAGTGCCCGCCTCGAGTCAGGCGGGGGTGTTTCCCATCCCTGGTGTGTGATTCTTTCAAGACTGCAGGTGCTGGGGGCCTGGGGTCTTGTTTGGTAGGGGAACAACGCCCATCTTGATCTTTCTTTCTCGATTTCAGGTGGTGTTCAATGTCCAAGGGTTGGAGACTGTTCAGCGAGAGGAAGGATGGTTTTTGCTCCGGCCAGAAAAATCTAAGCCAAGAGTAGATGAGTGAGTCTCTGTGCGTGAGAGGAAGAGCACCTGATTGCTAGAAGAGAAATAGGAATCATACTCGGGCAGCAACTTGGGAGCTAGCGTCTTCCTCGTAGCATGGGAAGCCATACCGGTTTGAAGTGATTCCTCTAATTTAGTATTTATTATTTATTTGAAGTAGTTTACCCTGTTCTTGAGCCCCAAGGCTGCCAAGGTCAGCTGACCCATGTAAGACAGTGCTTGCTGCCAGGTTTACAATCTGAAGGACATGACACACAAGCAAGGGGGTGGGGAGTCAGCTCAAGCACCAGTCCTGGCCGTCACGGTTCTTAAAATGTGGTGGGAAAAATTCAGAGAGCTTGGCCATTGACTAGGTGACAGTGTGGGAGAGACAAAGGCAGCCGGTGTCTCAGCAGAAGCCATGCAGTCTCTCTGCCTCTTTTCTCTCCCTCTGTTTGGCAGCCTGATGGAATGACTCAGAATGCTCCACTCTACCTGGAAGCAACTTGCTGACATCTCGGGTAGAGGGTCTTCCCTCCTCCCTAGCTGATACTTCTTAACTTGTTGGGTGTTTGTTTGTTTGTTTGTTTGTAAGCCGTCCAGAGACTTTAGTATCGGATGGCATATAAAAACTTTTAAATAAATAAACAAACAAACTAGAAATGTTCAGATTGAACCAAGCATCTTTTGCCTGCAAAACTTTACTGTAGATATTACCTAGGGTCAGGCAGTTCTGTGTTGCTTCTTTTCTTAGCACTAACTGAAAGACATTCCTGGGACCCCGTTGTGGTAGGGCAGAAAGCAAAATAATGTGATGTTTCTCTTACCCAAGACGTTGCCATCCTGTGTAGGTATTAGAGACCTTGTTATATAGATTTGTTTTATATTTGCTCTTAATTGCAAACATAGAAGTGGACCTTTCCACTGCAATGTGCATCTGGTAGTTGAAGGACCAAAATCATTTGGCCTTCCCCCAGGCAAAGAAATAATGTGGTTGCTTTTCTGAAAGTCGAGGCTATTTTCTTTTTTCATTAGGTCTGTTACTTCTTCCTTTGAATTGCTAACAAAAAATTTAATCAGTGATTCATTAAAACAAGAGCTGGGCCGTGGGAGAAAAGTAATGGTTTTAAACTCTTAATTTTTGCCTTGAATGCTTTAATGCTGGTTAGGTTATCAGACGCTTTAATAAAAGCTGGAAATTAGCAGTAGGGATTTGGATCACAAATGTTCGTTCCGAATTCTTGGTCATAGCCTCATGAAGAGAAGACTGAGCGGAACTATGATAGCGCTCTTCAAGTATTTGGAAGGTTGACAGAAAGAGGAAGGCCAGGATCTCTTCTCAATCATCCCAGGGTGCAGAACTTGGAATAATGGGTTCAAGCTCCAGGAAGCCAAATTCTTGACTGTTCCTGCAATGGGACCAAAGACCTGGGGAGGTGGTGGGCTTTCCCATCCTGGAGGCATTCAAGGTGCAGCTGGACAACCATCTGAGGAGAAAGTCCTGCACCTGGGCAGGGGGTTGGACCTGGTGGCTCCTTCCAGCTCTCCTATTCTGCGATTCTTTGAATGTTCTCAGATGAATAGAATGGGTTCTGATCCGTGACACAGGGCTGCGGCCCCTGGGCCCAGGGACCCTTCACCCCCATGACCTGCCTTCCTTTCCTTTCCTTTCCTTTCCTTTCCTTTCCTTTCCTTTCCTTTCCTTTCCAGGGGCAGTCTGGGCTCCTTACATCTCCAGGTGCAACTTCGGGATGAGATGGTCCTTCCCTCCATCCACTACCAGCCTCTGGTCCAGCTTTTATGCCAGGAAGTTAGAGCAGGTGTCAAGGTAAGATCTGTGTGGGCTTCTTGGCCCAGAGGTCTAAATGCTAGGCTGAGGAGCTCCGCACACGTGTCTCTGTCCCAGCTAATTTGATGATCCAGGTTGCCACTCTGCTGCTGCTGCTGCTGTTGTTGTTGTTATTATTATTACATTTTTATACTGCCCCTAAGCTGAAGCTGTCCAAGCAGTTTACAACAATACTCACAGTATCATGCATTCAAGTCCCCCATCCAGATTCTAACCAAGCCTGACCCTGCTTAGCTTCCAAGATGAGGCAAAGTCAGGCACTTCAGGCTGTACAGAAGCACTCGCTCTTTCATGCCCTAGCCTTTCTCACAGGGAGGTCATGAAGATAAAAAAACGTTGCAAAGAAGGTGGGATATAACTGCAGTAAATAAATATTTGGCCCCGTGGGGAATCTAATTTTGTGCGTGCCTGCATGCATAACATCGGTTGGATGAAAAGCATCGTTTGCTGTGCTTTAAAACCTTGAAGGGACTTGTTTTTCAGCTTTGCTCTCTTGTCCCTGGCAGGACAAGCGAGTGCATTTAATGACGCTGATTGATGAAACGACAGCGGCCGAGTGCAGGCAGGAGGTAGCGGTCAATCTTGTCAAGCTTTTCCTGGGTCACGGGCTGGCCACAGAGTTCTTAGACCTCCTCTTTGAGCTGGAATTGGATAAAACTGGTAAGAATCTGGATGCTGATGGGCCAAAGCGAGCAGGTGGGAGAGGGAGAGAAGGTCAGGGTGTGGCATCTGACTGGGGAGAGCCGGTTCTAGCCCCGCTTGGCTATGAAGCTCAGTGGGGAACCTTGGGCCAGTCTCAGAGTCTCAGCCTAGCCTACCTCACAGGGTTGTTGGGAGGATTATATGCGCAGGAAGAGGAACTGCACCATCTTGGGCTCCCCAGAGAAAGAGCAGGATATAAACGTAACAAACCCTGCATCCTGCATATTTTGGGGATCTCGGTTCCCGGAGCCCTGTTGGGACTTTGTGGGAAGGGCCATGGGTCATTCCTGCCCCAGTTACATAAATGAATTGGACCCATGGATAAACTGCCCTTGCTCCCCTGATGTTCCCAAAGGAAGAGGGGGGTTTTGCTGGTGCGTTCTCCCTGCCAGCCAGCGGCCTTGCCTGTCAGTGTTGTGTGATGACTGGCTCAGCTCAGAACGGACAGGGTATTTTACGAACTTCCTTGGAAAAGCGCAGTTCAGCTGAAGCTCAGCCCCACCCTGGAAAGTTCCTTTCCTAGCTTGTAAGGTTAGGGGACAGGAGCCAGATATTCAGAGCAGGTGCAATGCACCTCTGGACACACGTTCCTGATCCAGCTGAGATTTCAGCCGGAGCTGTAAAGAAGCCATCCATGGTTCTGAACCTTAGTCTTGGAACAGGGTTAGCAGCATGGAATCCAGAATGGAGTGTGAGCTCTGTTGAGCCGGGAAGCATCTCCCTCGGAGATACAGTGAGGCATCCTCTCCATGTTCCTGGCCAACATCTGTGGGGCAGAACCGAAATGGTCTCTCACAGAAGCAAGAAGAAAATATCTGGACACGGGTCATGGTGGCACTGGGGCTAGCAGAGCCGTCGACCGGGCTGCTTTGCCTGGCAGTGAGCGCATTGCGTGCTGGGAAAGATCGGTAGGGAACACAGCGCTTGCCAAACGCAGATGGCTCTGAAGACTGTGATTGACCCGTCTGTGCGCATGGCGTCCTCTCTTTCAGATGAGCCGAACACCTTGTTTCGGAGCAACTCCTTGGCCTCCAAGTCGATGGAGTCCTTTCTGAAGGTATCTGGGGGGTTTGTGGCTGCCCGGCATGGATCTCGGTGGTGTTTTGCGCAAGGCCATGCGCCTCCACTCGGCCCTGCCTCTCCCCGTCTCCAGGTGGCAGGAATGCAGTATCTGCATCAGGTCCTCGGGCCGACACTCAGACGCGTGTTTGAGGAGAAGCGCTACGTCGAGCTGGATCCCAGCAAAGTGGAAAGCAGAGAAGTGGGGTAAGCAAGCCAGCCAGCAAGTTTCGTTCCTCTTGCTGCCGTAGAAATCTGCATGACGGGAACGTCCTCTGCAGGGGAACGATGGACCAGAGCCGAAGAGAGGCTCCCATAGAAAAATCGGCATTTGCTCCCAAGTAGTCTAAGCAGCATGGCGAGAAGGAGCTGCCGATGGGGCCCTGCATCAGTGACGCCTATTTCTGGAGGCTTTGCATGATTCTGCGTAGCATTTTCCACTTTGGTTTGGCAAGGAAGCCTGGGGGCTTTAACATGTCTTTTTACTGACGGTTCTTGCTTCTGAATTCTTTGCAGGATTAAGAGTCGCTCCCTTTAGACATGTTTTTTGACCGAGAGGTTTTTTCCTGCCATTCTGTGCATTCCATTATACAACCACTAGGTGGCACTCTGACCCAGCAGAGTTGCACAAATGTCGGAGTGTTTCATCTCACACTTGCCGAGTAATACCACACCTTCCTCCATTTTTATTTTTATTTTTTTAAGCCATGGAAATGGTTGCGAAGTGTGGGAGGGGAATGAGAAATCATGAGTGCACATTGAGTCTCATGTAGAAAAGCTCATGGAAGGCTTTACGTCCCCTCTCCTGGATCTGGTCTGCTCACTTTCCACAGAGGCCGTGCATGATAGTTGGGGAAGCTGTGACCCTCCAGGCATTGTGGGACTGCAGTTTGCATCATCCCCAGCTTTAGTCCATGCTGGCTGGGGTGGATTTGAGCTGGAGTCCCGCTGGCTGGTTCTTTTTTCCTGGTTTTCCAGTAGTAACAATAACAATTATAATATGGTCCAGTGCGGATTCACAAAGAACTATCAACCTCTGCTGGATTATTAGTGGCTTTTAATTAATAGGTTCCCCATAGCAGCTTCTGCTCCCTTTTCTTAATCTGTATATGGCAGGAGCATTGCTGACAAATAGCCTATAACTGCTCCTTAATTTCTGTTCTCCCAGGCTTGAGGATAGAAGAGTTTTAATTACTGATTTTGCCACATAATTATTCTAGTCTTTGGTCTTTTAAAACTGCACAATACATAATCTAAGTCTGTGTGCTGAACGTGCCATTCGGTGTGGCTTGCTGAACTATGGGTGGTTGTTGGAATGTAGGTTATCGTGTCTGAATCCCAGGTGTGCTAACAAGCCATGGTTTGTTATCCACAAACTGCCCTTGAAGAGAACCCGTGGCTCCTTGCTGGGTTGTAAAGTGTGCGTTGTTCACTGCGGTTTGTCATCTCGGCTGGGTTCAGACACCCCAAAAACCCATGGCGGGTTCTTACTCTATCTGCCGTCTCCGAATGTCTCTGAGGTACACAAATCTATATTTAATCATGTACTTTGCATAGCAATAGGAATTACATGTAAAATGACCTGGTGCCATTTTAGACAGTTCACATTTTTTAAAATGTGGGAGCTGCCCCTTTGTCCCAGGGGCTGTAGTGTCTCACCTGGGCAGGTGTGTCCAGGTGCTGGCGGAGCAGGCCTGCCCAGAGTTTCCGCATCACCACGTTTTCCGAGAGCCATGCTCAGCGCTGACTCCCGCTGAGCACTCTCCTGAGAGAGGAGACGAGGCGGAGAGGACAAGACAAGCAGGAGCGGAACGCAAGGAGCGACCTGGAAGTAAACATGCTCTCTCTGCTGCGGCTTCCTGGCCCAGGTGCTCCAGCCTCCACCGGATCCAAAGCGAGAGTGACGTGATCCAGCAGAGTGCCCAGCTTCTGCAGTCCTACCTGGCGGACCTGCTGGCGGCCATTGCCGGGTCCGTCAAGGCGTGTCCTGTGGTCATTCGCGCCACCTTCCAGCGGCTTTTCAAGAGAGTCGGGGAGCGCTTTCCTGAAGAGAAAGACCAGGTCTGTCCAGGGGTTCGTCCTCTCACTCCTGCCTCCTCTGACTCCTGGGGGTCTTTCCGCATCCCCCAGCTGGGGCGGCCCCAGAGACCTCGCTCTGCTCGCCCCTGAGAAGTGGGGAAGCATAGTGGGGAAAGGACAATGGAGACGATGTCCGTGGCACTCGGCCTCCATCTCCAGAAACTGATGAGCCCGGACTTCCCCTTCTTGCCCCACATTCCGAAGCACCAGGCAATCCCTTGCAATGCTGATATTTCTTGGCACTTCACAGCTAGCAAGACAACGCGACTCTAACAGCCCCCTTCCCGGCTGGACAATAGCCCCTGCTCATGTCAAGGGTGACTGAGCGCTTGCCAACCTGGGACCTTCTCCCCCGTGCTTCCCCTTGATTCCCGCTGCAGGATCCACCCTCGTCTCCCCGATGCCTCGTCGTGGGCCAGGGACTGGGCAGGGCAGCGGCTCCACCCCCCCCCCGGCCCCTCCACCTCTGCCAAAGCAGGCCGGCTCTCACGCTCGGCCTGGGAGACTGCGGGCAGAGGCCCTGATGGGGCCTTGAAGGCTCCTGCCCCCTTGGTCCCCCTGCCCTCCCATCGCCTCCTCCTCCTCAGCATCCGATGACCTTTAGAAGTCGGGGGGGGGGGGAGTGCCCTGTAATGGGTCTCTTCACTCTGGGGGTTTGCAGCCTCACAATCTCTGCCACCTCCCCGGGCGGTGTCAGCGAACCCAGATTGATTGCTGCAAAGCGCTTGGTGCGGGGCTGCCCTTGGAGGCAGTGCAGACCCCAGATGGTCTAGAAAACGGCCACCCGCACACGGACGGGGCCCCTTCTTAGGGTCACAACCCTGCCTGTGTTTGCAGAGAAGGGAGCCCTGCACCTCCCGCCTTGTCCCGGCCAGGGATGCTCCGCAGGGGGCTTAGCGCAGGAGCCGAGGTGTGGAAAGGCAGCTCCTGGAAGCAGATGGACCTGCTCTCACGCTCGGCCTGGGAAACTGCGGGCAGAGGCCCTGGTGGGGCTCAAAGGCTCCCCCCCCCCCACCGTCTCTTCTGCGATGTCCGGATTCCTTAGGATCCCAGCGCTAAGCAGTAATGCTGACCGGTGGCGCTCCTGCCCCTCTCCAGAGTAGCTGGCTGCGTGTTCTGTGGCTGATCTGGTGCCTCTCCTCGCAGAGCCTGAAATTCATCGCCGTCACCAGCTTCCTCTGCCTGCGTTTCTTCTCCCCGGCCATCATGTCCCCCAAGCTGTTCCACCTGCGGGAGAAGCACGCCGACGCTCGTGCCAGCCGGGCCCTGCTCCTGCTGGCCAAGGTAGGGGTCGGCACGGCCGCCCCCTCTGGCCGCCGCGTGTCCGTCTGGTTCCAGCACCGCTGGCGACAGCCGAGGGTTGGGGCTCCTCGTGAAGAGCTGCCCTTCGGCCTCCTTGCGAGTGTGTGGATTTCCCAGTGTGTGTCCAGGATCCTGATGGAGACAAGGCACCAGCTTCCTTGGGGTCAGGGTGGCCCCTTCAGGACCCTCCCAGCAGAGGACACAGCCATCCCATCCTCCCCGGCTCAGAGGACAACTCTGCACCAGCCTCTGCATCTCCCCAGCCTCCTGGACCTCTCAGGCTGTGGACTGAAGGAGACGCCCCCTTCACAGCCCAGCCAGCCCCTCCAGGCGCAATGGAGGAGACTGCGCCGGGCGGCTGCTGAGACAACGTCCTTCTGTGGCTCGTCTGGGAGAGATTCCTAGCCAGGGTCCTGCCCGCTTCCTCCCTGGAGCTGGATTCCTCCCTGAACTTAGTCCCGGCTTCCCACAAGCCTCACGGGGCCCGGCAGTGGGGCACCCTCCGCCTTTTGCCCTGGGCACTTGGTGGCTCCGTCCGAGAGCTGCCGAGTAGCTCCCCCACATGCTGCCCCCGTGGCATTGCACTGGGCATTATGGAGGTGTACGGGGTAGGCCCAGGCCCCGTCCCCGATGCCGACCTGGTGCGCGTGGATGCCATGGGTGGTACTTGCTCCTAATTTGGTTCCCCCCTTTCTCTTCTTGTGGGGGATTTACCTGATCTTTCTCCTCCTCCTCATTTATGGTCACAACAACTCTGTGAGGGGGGCTAGGCTGAGAGTTGACGTGTGGCCCAAAGTCACCTAGGGAGCTTCATGGCCCAGTGGGGACTAGAACCCGGATCTCTGGAGTGCCAGCCCAACACTTAACCACTGCACCACACTGCCCTCCAGCCCCAGACTGCATAGTTAGCAATGAGGTGGCGTTCTCGTCCTCCTCTTTTATCCTCACAACAAGCCTGTGCAGTAGGCCAGGTGGAAAGGAAGCTTCGTGGCCCAGTGGAACCTAATTTTTTACTTATTTCATTTCTGAAGCACTCTGGGCAGTTGGCGACAAAGCCCCTGCCTCGTACTCCGCCCTTGCGTCCTCCTGGCCAAAAAAGGCTCACCTGCACAGGAGGAGAAGACCCCCGAAATCCCCCCAAGAGCCAGCGCCTGCTCGGTGCTGCTCGGCAACGCACTGAATGGTGCACACGGAGCCAAGAAGCCACGGTTCAGGGTTGGTCCCTGCTTCCGCGTGGGGTTTCCTATAACCGCCCCCCAAGTACAGGGTGGCCAGGCCCTCCAACCTCGACTCGTCTGCCTTGCTGCTTGCAGGCGGTTCAGAACGTGGGGAACCTCGGCACGAGCGTCACCGGCACCAAGGAGGCGTGGATGGCCCCCCTGCAGCCGGCCATCCAACAGGGCGTCGCGCAGATGAAGCAGCTAATCCTGCAGCTCGTGGACATCGAGGAGAAGGAAGGTCGGTGTCCTTTAACCTCGCTTGCCCTCCCTGCCTTCCCCCACCAGCTCCGGTCTTTCTCAGCTCTGCTTTTCCAAAAGGGTTAAAGCTGCTCGTGTCATTACCTTTCACTCCACGCGTGTCATGAGCGGAGCCGGCTGGAGCCGGGGGTCAGACTAGATGGCCCGGGAGGACCCTTCTGACTCGCTCTGTTTCCATATTTCTGTGTTTCTCCAGATGTAAAATTGAAATAGAAAGTGGCAGAGCACTGAGAACTTTCCAACTTAGAGGAGAGTTTCTTGCCGGGAGTGGCCAGCAATGTTAAAAGGACAGAGCTCTTGAAGCCGGAGAGCGCTTTACTGATTAATTTATTGTGTTTTGGGGGGAATTGTTACTCACAGTGAAACAGATCTGAGGTCTTTTCATGGATTAATTATCCAGTTTCAAAGATCTTCATACGCAATTTGTAGGGCTGGTGCGGGGGAGAGAGAGAGAGACTGATTAACTTAAACAAGAGAATTTGCTGCCCAGTTTAATTTGTAGTATGTTGCCGACAGATCAAATGCATCCGCTGGCCCAGCTTTCTCCAGCCTGGGTTCCTCCAAATGTGTCAAATAACATTTTCCTGCCTGCTGGGGCATGCTGGGTGTTGTAGTCCCCTTCCAGATTGGGAAGGGCTGTACCCCAACCTTATGGGGTACAAGAGGGCCCATATGGTTGAATTGGCTGCTTTATATGGCCGTGTTCAAATCTGCAGAGAGGGGTAGCCATCTCCAGGTTTGAATGATGCCCGGACCAGCAGATGTTCATAGGAAAACCGTTACGTTTCTGCCCCAGTCTTTCATTCGGTAGCACATAACACCAGCCGAGCTTGCTGTATGCAAGGTCTTTTTAATTTTCTAGAAACACAGAAACAGAGCGAGTCAGAAGGGGGCTCCTGGGCCATCTAGTCTGGCCTTCGGCACCAGCCGGCTCCGCTCACAACATGCCCACCATGTGCATGTCCAGCCTATCCTTGAACACCCTCACTGATGGGGCCTCAGCCACCTCCATGGAAGCCCATTCCACACCCTTGGGGTCCTGGGTGGACCTGGAAGGACTTCCTGGCATCCAAATGGAACCTTGGTTTCCCGAGCTTTGCTCCTTTGGAGCGCGTCCTGCCTTCCTCTGCAGGGGAGAACAGGTCTCTACCCATCTCCATGTGACATCCCCTCACATACCTGTATGTTGCCAACAGATCCCCCCTGGGTCTCCTCTTCTCCAGGCTGAAGAGGCCCAGTTCCCTCAGTCTCGCCTCATACGGCATCCCCTGCAAACCGGCCAGCAACCCTGTGGCCCTGCGCTGCACTGACTCCAACCTGGCTATATCCTTCCTGTAATGAGGGGCCCAAAACTGAACACAGTACTCCAGTTGCGGGCGCACCAGAGTTGTATAGAGTAGTAGTAATACCTCTCTCGATCTAGAAGCCACACTTCTGGCTATGCAACCAAGGGTGGCGCTCGCCCTCTTGACCACCGCATCACACTGCTGGCTCATGTTCAGCCTGCAGTCAACCAGCACCCCGAGGTCCCTTTCACAAGTGCTGCTCTCCAGCCACTTGTCACCTAACCTGTACCTATGACAGCCATTCCTATGCCCCAAGTGCAAGACCTTGCACTTATCCGCATTGAACGCCATCCTGTTGTCTCCTGCCCACTTCCATAGTCTGTCCAGATCCTTTTGGATCCGGAGTACCTGCTCCTCCGTTGTGGCCACTGCCCCAGTTTTAGTATCGTCTGAGAATTTGGTCTGATTTGTTTTCATCTGATGGAAGCCTGCGGGTTTTGAATGTTCCTTGCAGAATCCGATCTCCAGGAGGCCCTGTCCCTGCAGTCCCAAGTTGTCAAAGAAGGACCCTTGTTCATCTATAAGAATAAAGGCAAAGGGCCCCTCCTGTCCCCCTCTTTTAAGAAGCTCCATTTCTCGCTAACGAGCGATGCCCTTACTTATGCCAAGACACCCAATTCCAAGGTAAGGAAAAGGGCAGGGACTAGTAGCTTGAGAAACCAAGCCCTGTTGCTTGCAAGATGCATTCCCCTGGGAGCTGATCCCTAGGGGTGTTTCAAGCGAGGATTTTGCTCACAGAATTTTACAGGGGGTGCCCAGAGGACGCCACCCCCAATTTGTGTGTTATTACCTTTCACTTCAGGTAAGAAAATGCTCCTGTTCTGGACAGGAAAACGGAATCATTGGCCAGTCCCTTTGAATTGGAAGCGGCTGGGAACCTTCCGTCAAGTGGCTGGGAACCTTTAGCATGCATGCATGCCAACGTTTCAGCATGCGGTGTTGTGATGAAGCTTGCGGGACTGGGCTTGGGTGATCCGGGTTCTAGTCCCTCCTCTGCTGTGCAGATCCGTGGGGGACTTTGGGCCAGTCACAGGTGCTCAGCCCAGCCTGCCTCGCAGGGTGGGTTTTGCAGGGAGAAGGAAAGGAGAAGGAAAAGATGGCAGCTGCTTTCCGTTCCTTGAAAGGAAGCAAGGCAGGCTATAAAGATAATGCATGAATGCTGGTTTGTGCTAGCATGCCACCAGAGCCTCTCCCAAATTTCCCAAGCATGTTTGGCTTTTTTTTAGTCGAGGAAATTATCTGAAAATGTTGGAATGAACTGGCATGAGAAGCTTAGAAGCACCAACATAGAGAAAGGCCGAGAAAGAAAAGCCACAGGAAAAAAGCTGTAAAAAACAAACTTAATGTGCTGGAGATCCCAGAAGGAGAAGCCTTGATGTTGTGGTGAATGGAGACTGTGAGGCAGGAGGTACTTTGAAAATCTGGAGCCAGTAGTGGCGGTGGTATGGAGCCTCCATATTCAGAGGCAGTCTACCTCTGAATACAGTTGCTGAGGGGAGCTGCAGGGAAATTTTGCTGGTGCCTGCACGGCAGGCGGGTGGCTTCCTGGAAGCATCAAACCGTCTCCCTGATTGAAAAATAGGACGTTGGGCTGAACTAGCCTTTGTTTGATCTCATCCGAGCTGTTTTTTGAGCCCTTTTAGCTTTGGTGTGTTCCAAGATTTTACGTCATGTCTTTGGCAGGTTGCCTTTTTGCAATGGGCCAGCATAGAAATGAAGTAAATGAAAGGGCCCGGTGGGGTCTTGTCATCTCGCGTTCTTGTGGGATTCCCTTTCAGAAAATCGCCTTCATCACGCCAGCCAACATCCGGGCAGCCGAGAAGGTGGAGGAAAAAAGCTTTGGCAACGCCCACGTCATGCAGATCATCCACACCAACGAAAATGGGCAGCCGGACACAGCTTACCTGCAGTGCAAGGTGGAGGCAGCTGGGAGCGGGCAGGCCTGGTGAACCGCAGGGCCAGAATCATAGACACATAGAAACAGAGCAAGTCAGAAGGGGTCTCCTGGGCCATCTAGTCTGACCCCCCGGCTCCAGCCGGCTCCACTCATGACATGCCCACCACGTGCATGTCCAGCCTATCCTTGAACACCCTCACCGATGGGGCCTCAACCACCTCCTGTGGAAGCCCCTTCCACACCCTTGGGGTCCTAACTGTCAGGAAGTGCTTCCTGGCATCCACCCTAAATCTTGGTCCCCTGAGCTTGGCTCCACAGCTTGCCCTCCACAGGGGAAAAAAGGTCATGACCCGCCTCTACGTGGCACCCCCTCATGTACCTGCATGTCGCCAACAGCCCCCCTCTGAGTCTCCTCCTCTCCAGTCTGAAGAGACCCAGCTCCCTCCATCTCTCCTCATTTGGCTTCCCTGCAACCTGCCACCATCCCAGGGGCCCTTTGCTGCACCGATTCCAACCTTGCTATGTCCCTCTTGCAATGAGGGGCCCAGAACTGGGCACGGGACTCCAGGTGCATGTCTGCAGCCCAGGGGGCATCCCGTGACCTCCCAGAACCAGGGGAGGTGATCAGGGCGGCACCCTGGGGCCCCTGGACTGGCCATCCCTTCGTGCACCATCCCTGCCTTCTTTTTCCTTCTAAAATATTTTCCCACTGGGGTGTCCAGCTAGGCATGAACAGGGTTGCGGATTCGCATATCCTCCCGTTTTGCCTTTTCAGCTGCAGAGGCTGATGGGTCCTTCAACGGCGTGGGGCCTGGATACCTGAAGGAGCGCCTCCTTCCCTGTGTGCCGGCCCACCCCTTGAGATCTTTTCGGCGTCAGGCAAAACCGTTTATATTTTCCCAGCAGTTTAACATTTCATTGGTTTTATCTTGGATTTTATTGTTAATGGTTGGATGCAGTGTGTTGTTTGTGGTATGTGGTGGTTTTGTTTTTTGTAAGCCGTTCAGAGACTTTAGTATTGGATGGCACATAAAACCTTTGGATGGATGGATGGATGGATGGATGGATGGATGGATGGAAGGACAGACGGACAGACGGACGGGTGATGGGGCACTCAGGGGCAATGGGGTGGAAGCCACCGGGATTGTCTGACGGCCTCATCCAGGTAAGAAGCCACGCCATGCGGAAACACCCTGCGTAGCTCAGCCGTGAAGGCAGCCGAGACGTCCTGTGATGGCAGCGTCTTTCCCTGAAGCATCCGCCCCGGCCTCCCGCGTCCCTTTCCTTTCTCTGGCTGAGCAGGACTTGCAGCGTAGAAATCGGTGATCGGAGCTGAACGGTGCCGTTCCCGTTGGAACGGAAATTGCACCAGGGCAAAACCTGGAGCCCAGGGTATGCGCGGCACTGATCTCCGGCTGTCGTCTGTGGGTTTGCAGTGCGTCAACGAACTCAACCAGTGGCTTTCGGCCTTGCGGAAGGTCTGTGTGAACAACACCCACATGCTCTGCTCCTACCACCCGGGCATCTTCCGCGGAGACAAATGGAGCTGCTGCCACCAAAAGGACAGGGCAGGTACTGCATCCATGGCTGACGCCGTGCTGGGCGCTCTTCCCCGAGGCGTTTGATGGTGACAGCTCACAGGATGCCCCAGGGTGGCGGGGACACATGGCCGCCCCAAGGTTCGGGCCCCAAACTGAAGATGCTGCGTGGGACACCTCTGCTTAGGTGTTGGACGCTGGGTGCGAGCTCACCTCACAATTAAAATCGCCTCCTAGATCGGGGCTGTGGCAAAACCCGGCACGGGGTTATGCTGCGGGAATGGAACGACCCCTTGGACCCCAACTTGGAGGCGCAGCTGATCTTCCGACATTTGCTGGGCATGCGGCAGCAGATGAGGTGAGAGGGGCGTGGGGTTGGGCGGAAGCCTTCCCTTGCTCTCCTGGTGCACCCTGCTGGGAAGAAGAAAATGGCGAAAAAGAAGGTGGTAATCCAAACCATATGTTTTGAGCCAGGCGTCCCCTCCCAAACGAGGCCGGCCCTTCAGCCCTTATTGGAAGAGCCTGGATTCCATACAGAAACAACGTATTCACAAGCCTCGAACACGCACCCCGGGTGGAAAGTTGACCCCTCGCCTGCCCCCCTTCACCCACGCTTTGCTGATGAGCCCTTCGGGGTCGGTCTCCAGAGGGGGGCACACCGTGGAAGTGAGCGCACTGACACGCTTCCCACTGAGCCCCTTATTGGTCCAGCCGGCCGGTGCGTCAACGGGCCCTCGCGTCCACGTCTTCTGGGGTGTCAAGGTCTCCTCCCGAGAACCCTCGCCAGCCTGTTCCCTTCCAGCTTCTTTCCCACAGCCAGGAGTGGCAGGGGGCTTGGTGGGCGTCCTTGAAGGGCTTTGATCCAGAGCTGACTCGGGCAGGCTCACCGGGAGAGTTTGGGCAGCCGGGGCCTCGCCAGTCTCAGCCACTCCCATATCAGAGTGAGGACTCTGAGCCACGGCGGGGTCGGCTCCCCGCTCCCCCCCCTGCGTCCGGGCCGCCATTCCCACCAGAGCCCTCCATCTCCCCTGTGCGCCTGGGAATCACATTGCGCACGGCACCATATTGTGTTTGTGGTGCTGAACCTTCCAGCGGCTGCATTAACGCGGTGCGGCATGCCGTCCGCAAAGGCCTGGAAACGGGCTGGGTGTCGCAGCGAGCCTCTTCAGAAGGTGCGCTGTGAAAAGTCGCCACTCTCCGACAGTGGTGCGTTCTTGGTTGGGCAAGTTTTAGGGCCCGCTAACCATCCACCTTTTTTTTTTCCTGCCCCAAGGGAAAAATATCTGGAATTGTCGACACTGGAGAAAGAGGCGAAGCTTGATTTGAGCCGAAGTGAAGGTATGGCTCATTATATGGGTCTGACTGGGAAGGGCAGTGGGCGCATCCGGACTGCATTTTGCCTGTCCTCTTGTTCAGTGGACTAAGGGGCATCGCAGGCCAAGTTGCTGGGGTAGAAATTCTGCGAGAGAATACCTGGGCTTATATGGAAACTCAAGGGAAGGAGAATGAAGCTGGAGCTGCGTATAATGAAGCAGGATCAGACCTATTTCTAGGTATCTTCAACCTGCCTGTATAGCTGTCTCTCGTGCTAACACGTCGGGTCACCTTTGCTAAGCTGGAAAAGCTCGGGCTTGCAGCTGGATGGGTGACCACGTGTGGAAGAAGAGCAGAGGGTTGGACTCCCTGGCATTATGTATTGTTTATTTATATCCCCCTTTTTCCTTATGAGCTCAAAGTGGCTTATGTCATTCTCCTGCTCGCAATCTTATCCCCACAACAACAGCCCTGTGAGGTAGGTTGGGCTGAGAGTCTGTGCCTGGCCCAAAGTCACCCAGTGGGCTCCATGGCTGAGCGGGGACTGGGACCCAGATCGTCTGAGTCCCCGTTCCAGACTCTTAATCGCTCTATCATGCTGGTTCACATGTAACTCTCCTTCATTTCTGTTCAGGTGCAAGCTGAAAACTAGACAGGGCAAGATAAAAAACAGTGACGCAAAGCCTGCTTTGCTACTGTTAATACAGTGCAATGCAGTACAGTCTTTTGCCTCCTTGCGAGAAATCCTGGGTGTCTTACAGAGACTTCCTCCACTCTCTTTTCTCCTCATAACAACAGCCCTGAGAGGTAGGCAGGTTAGGCTGAAAATCCAACCTGCATCTCCAAGGAGTAGGACAAAAAGGAGACAAAGATTAGAATCGAATGTTGATGGGATGAATTATATGTATAGACGCACATTTACAACTGATCACTGTAATTTAAATAGATACCCAGTACATTTTGCTGCAGGTTCCACTTATGGATGGACAACTTCAAGGCCCATCTGCCTGCTCTCCCTTCTTACGTGTCTTTATTGTTAAGTCAGACTTGGCGTGGACAGCTGTTCACACAGGGAACTATCCTCTCTAAAGTGGGACCCGCGACCGGCCTATATGAGATTTGGAGCCAAGTGACAGGCTGGGCTTCCTGGTTCTCCTAGGCCCAAGAGTTCTTCCATTTTTAGAAAGATCAGTGTTTCACATTGACCAGGTTCAGACATCAAGGATGGAGTATGGGCTGTTGTTAAACCACGGCTTTTTCTTGAGACATGGGTTACCATGTTGTCTGAACCCAACTTTGTTAACAAACCGTGGCTTATTAACCACAAAGAGCCCACATTTCACAACCCACCAACAAACCACAGGTTCTCCTCATGTTTCAGGTTAGCAAACCGTAGCTTGTGACTGCAGCTGGTTCAGACGACACATTTCAGCAACCTGCAGTTCAACAACAACTTTTCATCTCTTGGGTGTGGAGGACTGTTTTGTCTGAACTGGGTCACGGAGTGCAGGAACCCTTTGCCGGCCGCAGGGGTCACTAAATCTCCTACTTAGCTTACAAAAGGCAGCCCTTAAGCGCAACTTAGGAAAAGCCAACTAATTTCGTCTGACTGCAAAGCTGCCTCACACGATCTGCACATAATTTCTCCCTCCCTCCCCCCCCTCGTTACAGATCCCGAATCTGTTGATGGGCCAAGCAGGCTTTTCCAGGTGTTGCAGGATCTTGAAGAAATCCACCGCAAGGAGCTCTCCCGGTTGAGTGACTTGGCCAGCCAGGACCGGAATCACCTGGTGGAGCTGCAGACGTAACTCTCGTTGCGCATCAGTCGCTCTTGGGCTGAGCTTGTTTCAAGCCCGATTCCTGGATTTGCAACTCTTTCTGCACTTGTGCTCCCCTGCTGAGGTGGAACGGAGGCTGGCCCTGCTCCTTGGAAAGCTGAAACATGGAACAAATGGCCGTTTCTTTCAGGACCTGTTCAACCTGACAGACCCTCCGGTCTAAACTGGGAATGCTGGGCCCAAGCCTTCCTTTCAGCAGTTTAACTGAGTCCTAGTTTCTCTGTGGATGTTTTCCTTTCTAAAGGCTGTACTGAATTCGTGCTACAAGCTCTTGGCACTTAGCCTGTTTATTTCCCAAGATAGTTGACCAGAACTTGGAAGCTTGGGGGGACTGTAGGCATACTTTTTATTTTTTTATGGAGTAACTTTCTAGACCTCATGGTGATAGAGATACCTTTGAAAATGCATAGAGAAATCCACTGTGTTTGGAGGAAGGGGGCAAGGAGTTGGTGCCTTTCACAACTCATTGTCTGTCTCTTTACGACCTCTGCTCAGATTCCCTCTGCACAGACCCCTCCGCATTCCTTCTCATTTATTTCATTTCTGTACCATCCACAAGCTGAAGCTCGCTGGGCTGTTTACAACCATTTATAAAATCTAGCAGCTTGCATGCTGGGAGAAGACAAGTTTCCACAAGCAAGTGAGCTTGCCAGGAGGATGCTGTCCTTGGATGAAAAGGCCCAGTTTGGCAGAGCGACAGATTAAGGCTGGAAAGGTTTGCAGGGTGCTTTAAAGGGCAGCAAACTGACAATATTTCATAGCACAAGTTGTAAGGATGATACCTCTCGGTTCAAGAGCAGTCTACCCAACATTTTCATTGTGGCAAGAATGGAGGGAGGGCTTGTCATCCGAGTTTAATGCACCCCACCTCCCCCAAGATCTGGGTCCATCTTCGAGCCAGATATATCTGTTTTATGTCATATATATTCCAGTTCAGCAATATCTCTGGGTATGAGGTGAACCTTTTTTCTTTTGGTAATTTGCATGCAATAAAATGACTTCCTGCCATTCCAGTGTAGCCAAGAGGAAAGTTTGGTTTGCTTTTCTGGTCCGTCGCCCCCTTTCCGGGCAGAGAGATTCTGAATGTAGAATAAAAGATTGTTTATCACATGCTGCTTCTCAGGGATGACGGTCTGGTTCTTTGTAAGAAAAAAGTAAAATTCAAAGTTTTTACTTCTCCAAGCACCTCCAAGGCAAACTGATTCTGCTCGTGCAGACTCTGCAATCCACTTTTATCAAGTGGAAGCTGGTACTACAGCTCCCAGAATCCCCAGCCAGCATGGCTGCACACGTTCCTTGTCTCTGGCGTACAGTTTTGCAAGGCTTGCAGCCTGTGCATAAGCCATGCTGACTGGGGATTCTGGGAGCTATGGGCTGGGGCCGGGTGAGCTTTGGGAGGACTATTGGAAAGTGTTTCGGATTTATATATACGGGGAAAGACCAAGAATCGCAAACTGCAGAAGCGATTAGCTGCAGCAAGGAAAGCTGCCTTCAATCCCCACTTGGTCTGGCATCAGCATTGCGAGTGTGACCTTGGCTGGGTGCTGTCTCTGACCTACCTCGCAGGGATGTTGTGCAGGGGAAAGAGGAGGCAGGTGACGGGGAAAAGGCTGGGATAAAAGTGTAATCCATAGATGAGGCATCGTTGCTCTACATTCTCCCTAGAGCTGGAGGGTGGAGGAGAATGGTTTTATTTTTGTCATTTATTTGAAATATTTATTTCCCGTCCTATATGCAAAGTGTCTCAGGATGGCTTACAGAAATCAAAACAAGCAATCCATAATCAAAACAACAGTTAACAATAATTAAGGATATACATAAAACCAACAGTAACATATCACCCATGAAAACAAAGTCAAAACCAAAATCAAGATCAAAAACAAAAAATGCAACTGTGGATAATTCAAAACCAGATTAAAATTCCTAGTTCTTAAAATGGTGGGCAAATAAAAAGGTTTTCACCTGGTGCCGATGATACAAAAGGATACATACAATTGGATTTCTGTCTACAGTCCCAGGCCAAAATCAGAGCTATTTTGGCTGAGGGAGTGGAGTAGAAACTGAATGAATAAAGAGTATTCAAACTATGCAGACCCACAGCTTTTCAAATGCCAGCTCTTGGAGATACTGAAATTTACGAGGGATAAATGTCCAAAAGTACGCTAAAACCCATGAGGTTTCCTGCAAGTAAGGGCGGGCCCTCCACATGCAGCTGAACTGTAGCCTGAATCAGCTGGCATATTTGGTGGGGATGACGGGACTTGGAGTTGATAATCTGGAGAGCTTCGCATGTTCCCCATCCTAGGCATGTGGTTTTTCAGTGGGATAGCGGTGAAAGTGTTGGACTGGGACTGGAACGATCGGGCTCAAATCCCTCCTTGGCCAAGAGCTCCCTCTTGTCATTTTCAGTCAGGCACTGACTCTTAGCCTCGCCTTCCTCACAGGGTTGTTGTGAGGATAAAACGGGGAGGAGGAATGCTGTACAAGCCACCTTGGGCTCCTTGCAAGAGTTAGAAAGGCACAGTATAAAGATAAACAGGGAAGTTTCATCCATGGTTCATCTGGTCCATTTGACCCCCGGGCTCCCCCATACACTGCAGGTTCACCATCATGAAGTACCAGGGACAGCTCCCATGGAGCTCAAAATAACAGCTGCAGTGTTTAAGAGGTCCCCCAGATAGAGGCATTGCCCAACCCCCTGGGATAGCAATAAGTCAAATGTTTTTTGAAAATAAATAATCGTGGGGCAACAGCAACTGGTGCGGTGTCGTGCTTAAGAGCACAGGGCTGGGAGTCCCTGCTCAGCCATGGAGCCAGCTGGGCAGCTTCAGGCCAGTCAAAGACACTCAGCCCGGCCTACCTCACAGGGTTGTCGTTGAGGGGTAGGCTGGAGGAGAAAAATGGGTCTGGAAGGCCTGGGGCTTGCGCTACCGCTTCTGTGCTCGAGGGGGAGCCAAAGCGCGGCCTCGGGGAAGGCGAAAGCGCAGCGGGCGCAGTTCCGCCGTTTGGCCGCCAGATGGGGCCGGTCGGAAAGTGAGCGCGCGTCCTCTCGCTTCCTAGAGAGGAAACCCAGCCGCGAGCTGAAGCCGGAAGCAGAGGAGCAGGTGCCGGAAGTGGAAGCGGCTTGTTTTGCTGAACCGGAGCCACAACAAGCGGTCCTGTCGCGATGAACGCGCCGCCGGCCTTCGAGTCCTTCCTGCTTTTCGAGGGGGAGAAGAAGTGAGTGGGGAGGGGGCGCCGCAAGTGTCCCGCTTCCAGCAAGGGGGCGGGCGGGGAGTGGGTCAGGTCGGAGAGGGGAGGCTTCCAGCCAACCTCGACCTGGCCTCTCCGGGACGGGCTGGGAAAGCCCTTGAGTGCTCTCGCCCGCCAGTGCCACGAATAGTGGGCTAGAGAGACCAGCGTAGCTTCCCACGGCTCTATTCAGTCAGACCCTTTCGTTGGGATCATGAGGACTAGGATATTGTTAGGCAGAATATAAAGGAACCTCCAAGCAACCAGTGGATTGCAGCCACGCTTTTGCCTGTCAAGTGGGGTGGGGATGTTAAATTAACTCACCTCTCTCAAAAACTAGAATTAAGCTTGTTTGTTTGCCTTTGTATTTGGAAACTTAATTTTAGAAAGAGGGAGGAGGCTTCTCTGAGTGAGAACCTGAGGAGCCGCTGATGGCCAAAGGTAGGCTAGATTGGCAAACAGTCTGATCTGCTGTAAGGCAGTTTCCTGTGTACCAAGGACTTTAGCTCTGGTGCAGAGAATGCACTTTGCAAGCTGAGGGTCCATGTTTTACCCCTGACTTCCTTGGTTGAAAGGCTTTCAGATAGCAAGATTATGAGACTTGGGAGATTTGGTTCTGGTCAGAAGGAATACTGGGATAAATCTATACATCTTTGTCAGGCAATTGCTGGGAAGAGTCCAGGGAGCTACTGCCAGACAGCATGGGTAATCCTGATCTAGTTGATTTGGTATGAGGCAGATTCAGTGGGAAGCACATGGTTTGCACTTAGAAGGATCTGGGCTCAATCTCCACCAGAAATGAACTAGCAGGGCTGGAAAAGATCTCAAATATGGGTTGAGTTAGGTGAGGGAGGGGTTGAAAGGGAGGAAAGTTAGAGGAGGCCAAGTGAGGATAAGTTGGGTGGGAAGAAAATGGATGCAACTATTTCAGAGTGGGAAAGGTAATCATGCAAAGAAGGAAAGGGGATGGGAAAAGGAGACTGTACTAGCTGTCATTAACATTAATCTGTTTATATAAACTGTTTCTTCTCTGCCTCTTTTCCAGGATTACAATAAATAAGGATACCAAAGTACCAAATGCCTGTCTGTTTACCATCAACAAGGAAGATCACACACTTGGGAATATCATTAAATCGTAAGTAACAACAGCTCTTGTTTTTCATACAGGTGCTTAACAGTAGCAGCCAGGGCAATGGGTGGGCAAGGAACTGAAGGATGGGCCCAAACAGCCAGTGAAACCTTGGTGACTTTTCCCAGCCCATTTGCACTGTTTTATGAGAGTGGTGGAATTGGCTGAAATCTGTCAAATGTTTTTGGTTATACATAGTACACAACCAAGGATGTTATGTTGATGGATTGGTCGTATTTGTATGCCATCCATAATCTGAGGGGTTTCTGGGTAGCTCATTTTAGAAGGAATGTTTCATCTTCAAGCATTTCCTCTTCCAGTTTCATGAAATTCATGAAATAAAAATTCATGTTTATTGGCACTTGCAGCCAGGTTGGATCCATGTACAATACCAGTGTCCAGTCTTCTCTGCATCTGAACACTTGGTATACATCAGGCAGTATGGGGCTCTGCAGATGAGTTGAACTACGGTTCCTATCAGCTCAGAATGTTCGTGCCTCTGGAAGCTGTATTTAAAGCCATCTCCACCTTGAGGAAGGCTGGTATACATCCTTTCCTTAGTGTCTGGTGGTAGTGAGGGGGCTGAATGCAGGCAGAACTGTGCTGCGAAGTAGTTGTGCCCATTGACATGCATCTGGCTCTGTATCTCAAGGCAGACAGTAAACTGTTCCCAGCAGGGTGAAGAATCTGTTAGAGGAAGCCGATAGCGCCTCTGCTGCAAGGTCTTGTTTTACGCAGGAGCTAACTGCATCCATTCTTGAAGTCCACACACAGGCGCAAAACCAATAGCTGATTCCCCCTGCTGTGGCTCCCACCAGGAATGGATATTCAAGGGCAGGTGGGCTCCAGACTTGCTGACTTTGCACAGCCGTTGTGGCCACGGGTGCAGGGCTGTGGTGATGGCCAGAGGACCACAAACTTGGAGGTGCATCCTTTGTAGGTTGGGAGGCAAGGCAAGGGCAGTGCTCTGATTGCAAACCCTGAGGGGTGAATGTGTCTGCCACCCCTCAAACTCTCTCCAGGGGCCATAGGATGCTCCCTGATGCATATTTCATCTTCTGTGACTCTTCTGTTAAGGTCTTGTTAGCATATGTTTGTCCTTTGCAAAATAAAAAACCCATGTTCCTGGACAGCCTATGTTAGCATACTAAATGCTGAGAGGGGCTGGTTTGCAGGGGAAGCCAAAGGAGGGGCTGAGGGGGCTGGGTCTTTTCAGCCTGGAGAGGAGACTCCGAGGGGGCCTGTTAGCGACATGCAGGTACGTGAGGGAGTGCCCCACGCAGAGGTGGGTCAGGACTATTTTCCCCCTGCCATGCTCCAACGGAGCCAAGCTCAAGGAACCCAGGTTCAATTTGGATGCCAGGAAGTCCCTCCCAACAGTTAGGACCCACAGGGCATGGAATGGGCTTCCATGGGAAGGCTTGAAGCCCCTGTGGTGCGGGTGTTTAAGGATAGGCTGGACATGCACATGGTGGGCATGTCATGAGTGGGGCCGGCTGGAGCTGGGGGTCAGACTAGATGGCCCAGGAGGCACTTTCTGACTCACGCTGTTTCTATGTTTCAAACTTAAGAATAGCAGACACTGTCTGTAAAACATCCAGAGTGGAAGGTGACAATGCAGAATGTGTCAAACTGCAACCTCAGCAAGATAGGCAAATAAGACATCTGGTATCCTTAAAAGAGGGACTTTGATCTTCAGGGTGCCACGGAAAAGATTCTTTTCCATCTACTCACCAAGCCTGGGTGGGACATTCTGGGTGGCACGGCATTTAACTTGGCTTTTGAAGATGTTAAATTCCAGGTGGGCTTACATAAGTGACAACCTTTCAGTTCCAAATGGTTCAGAACAACCTTCCCCAAGCTGGAGACTTCCAGCCCTCCTGACTGTGTTGGCTAAGTTTGATAGGAAGACTAAAACCTCTACAGGGCACCAGCCTGGGGGAAACTGTTGAGGCTTTTACAGGTTAGAACCAAGGGATTGAATCGGGCTCAGGAACACTGGCTGTAGAAGACCGGTGTGACCTGGTCTTCAGGTGCACAGCAGGCAGTTACCTGGGCTCTGCAGTTTGTGCTACCTAGTTTCTGAGCAGCCTCACGTGATCAGTAATCACGTCTGATGTCTCTCACCTTGTAGGAGCCTGACTCTGTTCATATTCCAGGATGTCGTAGGCCTTTTTCCTTCCTAATCATGCATAGGACTGTGCCCTGGCCTTTATCTTGTTACAGGGCTTTCACTCGGTTGTTTTAACTGACTCTAATGATCATTGCTTCACTATTAGCTGCCTTAGGGAGGTCAATGATGGGAGTGCAATCCTGCACGCGAATGCACATCTGTTGCCTAAGTTCCCGTTCTTATTTGGGCAGAAGTCCTACAACTCTTGGCACGCTGGCCGTGAGGAACAGGTACGCGTCTCCCTTGCGCGCTAATTGCCTCGTTGCTCTGCTTTCCCTTTGCCTCCCAGGCAGCTGCTGAAAGACCCGCAGGTGCTCTTTGCGGGGTACAAGGTCCCTCATCCCCTCGAGCACAAGATCATCATCCGGGTGCAGACCACGCCCGATTACAGCCCCCAGGAAGCCTTCACCAATGCCATCACGGACCTCATCAGCGAGCTCTCCCTCCTCGAGGAAAGGTTCCGGGTAAGCGGGGCCCTTCCGGCTGAGCTGCATGGTGGCTTTTGTGGAGGCGGTCAGGCTGCGGGGGGGGGGGGGTGCTTTCTTTTCTCCCTGCCTGAAATGTGCTCTCGTGAATAGAAGTGGCTCCTTGATGGATAGGTTTCTGGAGTCATCGGACGCCGCTAGCTGTGCAGCGTAAGGCAGCTGTGAGAACTACTAAACTGAATTAAGATGAGAAGTCGGACGAAGCCTGAATTCAAAGCACTTCCATTTAGAACCAGGGGATGGTCATGCAAGGACTGCATGGAACTCCCAGGGCCAAGACTTCCATAACCTTCTAAGCCCTTTCCCTTGTGCTTCTGAGAGGGTCTTGCAGGGAGGCCCCTCCCACCAACCTCCAGGCAGGCAGGCAGGCAGGCAGGCAGGCTCGTGCGGGGCACCATGTGTTCCCCCCGCCCCCTGCAGCCAGCCAGCCAGCCAGCCAGGCCCAACAGCAGGTACCAGTGGTGTTTTGTCGGCCGTGTCGAGAGTATTTCTGATGGCTCTGATTGCACATCTGCACCACTTGGTCCTCCGTTAATTCTCCTGTGAATTTCTTAGGCTAACGAAGGAAATGGTGGATGCAGCCAAATGAGGTCAGGGCTCAGCTCTCGAGAGGGCCATGTCTCCTGTAACAAGGGAAGGGGCGTAACTGCAGAGGGGTTGGAAGAGAAGCTCTTTTACATTGGTTTAGTGCTTAACTCCACTTTCCTCTATCTGAAATTGTAGGATATTGTTGAGAATATTGTCTAGATTATGAAATCTAACTAGGTCCTTTACTGTTGCTTTCTTGCAGGTTGCCATCAAAGACAAACAGGAAGGAATTGAATAACAACATGGCACTTTAGCCTCTGTGTTTGTAAATTGTATTTTTCATGTTTAGCTTATGGGAAACAGTTTATAATACCTATGCTGCTTGTAGCATCCTGGGAAGTTATGCATCCCAATGTCTGTGTAGAAGTCATTTAAAGGCAGGATCTATTTGTTAGATAATAAATTATAATTTTTACAAAACTAAGTTGCTTTGTTTGAAAGGATTAGTAATTTTAGTAAAGAGTAAGCTGGTGTTTTGATAATTACTTTTGTAGAATAGGTGCCAGTTCTCAGAAAATACCGTTGTTCACTTGTGAGAGAGCCCCTTGCGGTTCTTCTGAGCTTGTGGTTTTTACCACCCTTTTTTAAAGCCCTGTTTTAACACGTTCCTTTTCACTGTTGCCCAGACACGGTCCCTTTTCTCTTGCGCGGACCAAAGACGCATGAATGCATGCATAATGTCCTCTCCCTTAGGCAACTTTTCCCTTGGACAAAATACGTGTGAGGAAAGGAGGTAATGTAACCTCCTCGCTGGGCCTTTTAACAATGTTTGGGAAGCCAATTTTAATCAACAGATGGGCTGCAGTTGTCTCGTATCAAGTTTTATTAAATACTGTCCTCCTATAAAACAAATACACTTAGTACAACAATAAAGCAAAGTCACAGTTAAGAGACGTGGGTATTGACAATAACACCACAACGTTCTAGCCAACCCCTTTGGTGGATTTTAATTGCATTGAGCATGAGCCTAAAATCCCCGCACCCCAATCTGATGATCCTCAGACCTGTCACAAATACTGCACTACTGAAATGAGGATGAAAAAAAGATGTGGCTCCAGTCTGAGGCCAGAGCAGCATGCCTAAGCCTTCTTCCATATTGCGGCAATGTTTATGTCAGTCAGCGCAACCAGGTATGTGAAGGTGGGATCAGTGACCACATTATTTACCAAAACATCAGTCAGCAGTTCACCATTTGCCTTCAGTTCTGGCCACTTCAGAACCTAAGCAGAAAAGAGCAGTAAAGGAGAAATTTACTGAAAAATTCACTGGAGTCACTCTAGTTAGTATCCCTGATACAGTTCGGAGGGTTTCTGTTCCAGGTACCAGCCGTGCTCTCGTCTGGAGCACTCTGTAGCTGCCTAAGTCAAGAGTACCCTCTAAAGCAACCTGCACGTTCTTGAAATTAGAAATTCCATCCCCACCCCTAGTTTTTCTGTGTGTTTCCCACTGCTGATTTGTGAAAAGGGCAGGAAACCCGTCTTGGAGAGGATGCTTGGAAGCACAGAAATGCATCAGCCCTTCACCCAGCTAAGTTCGCGTTCCTGATCTTTCAGTGGTTCTCCAGTACCGAGCAGCAAGTCATCATAAGCATGACAACGCTTGTGTTATGCCTGGCACTGCTCCCGCTCTGCAGGCAGAGCTCCATACTTTCCAGGCTCTGGTCCAACAGCATTTTCCTGGAAAATATTCCAGACCACATCCAGAATAGCCAGACCCAAGTCCTTCCTTCCTGCAGTGCACCTCAAGGTTCATTCAGGTCAGGTGCTGGGGTGGTTTCTTGCAGCGGAAGGATATGCGGGACTACTTATAGTGCAGGACTGGAGAATTTGTGTCTGAAGGAGGCTGGTTGCTAGAGAAGTACTATCTGGACATACTGGCTCAAACTGAAATAATTTTAGGGGGCTGCCCAGGATCTGGGCACTCTTGAATTACTTGCAACCTTTTATACTTCAAAACTCTTGGTTCATCTGGCCAATCTGCCAGACGGAGGGGTTACTCTCCCTCAGTTTTCAAAGTAGTGTAATAGGGTTTGTCTCCACTGAACATAGTCTGCTCATCATAAGCTTGATAAAGAATTGTTACAGCTTTGCTATGTTAATTTACACTTTTAGTGGTACAGAAAGCCAGTTTCATTCAAGGCTAAATGAATATCTAGCAAAGCTCTTGCTTAGTTCCCGTTCAAAATCTCTCTGCTGGAGGAAGACAATTTTCAGTTCAGAAGAGTCCAGGAAGCATGATTTGTATTCCCTCGTTTCTGAATGTTGCCATTGCGGATGTCAGATTGGTGTGTGTTCTATTTGTTGAATAGAATCAACAGTTTCCTGAGGTGATAATTAACACGGCCAAGCCCAGGATGATTTTTTGCATCTGACAAAGTGGGCTCTATTCCAAGAAAGCATTGGGTACAATCAAACTCTTAATCTTTAAGAAAAATCTTCAATAAACTTGTTCCAGTTTGCTCTGGGATTAAACCCTTTTAAATAGCAAACCTGATTTCTAACAGAGATTTGCAGTTTTTGGCTTACGCAAGCCAATCTTCCAGCCTCAAGACAACTGTGAACAGGGACAAGCCAAACACCCCAGAATGACTTGCTTCCTTACCTGAGAAGGGCCGATTCTCTTGGTCGGACTGTCTTCCTTGGTGGCACTCAGCGCAGACAAGTGGTTGCTGAGATCATACATCCAGACACTTCCCTTTTCATCCCCACAGAACACATATTCTTCTGCTGCAGGAACGAAACAAATCAGATTTGTGATTCTAGCCAATGAACTCTGGGAAGTGTTTCAGAAGATGTCGGATGGCCTCTGCAGGGACACCAGGCCTTCGACTCCAAGACACTCAGCCCTGCCTCAGTGTCCACCCCCCCCCCCCCCCCCCCCACGGCATTTGCCGTCTCTGCTGCTTCTCCAGCTGCAGAGTGCCCCTGTTCCTGGACACCCTGGTCTGTGACCCAGGATGCCATGCTTGCTGTTGCTCTGCAGCACGTTTTGAAAAAAGCCACGGTGGGGCACAGCTCAGCCCCTCCCAGAAGCTCAAGCATCACTGGATGAGCCTGTCTGGGGACAGCCTGAATGACCGGCGGCGGCAGCACTGCTGGGGACTCGAGTGGTGCCCGGAGCCCAAGACTGCGTGGGAAAGGGCCGCGCCATGCCCAGTGCTGGCTGGCACTTACTTGGACATGTGCTAAGGGTGAGGTAAGGCAAATCTGTTGAGGACCACTCCAGTTCAGCCAGAATGATGGCCTGCACTGTCCGTCTCCCGGCTTTCCCTTGCTTGAAAGAACGACTCCAGCTCCAGAGGTTTATGGATCCCATCTTGGAGCTCTTCGTGACTGCAGAGGAGAGAAAGGCAGCAGGTCTTGCTCAGTCCCGAGTTTGCTGTCACAACTATTCCTCTTCCTGCCCAATCAACTGTTCCTCAATTATCACCCGCACTCCTTTTCAGCCCCAGTATTCTTCCCGACAGCACGACCACAACGAGTAGGACACCCACTCCTATAAGTGACGGTCAAGTAGCTAATGCTGTTATCTCACTCACTGCAGCACAATCCTACACGGCTCTACTCGAAAGTAAACTGCAGACGAGCTCAGTGGGATGAAAGTTAGCACAGCAGCAGAGTGGAAGGGGCCCATAAGGCCCTCAAGCCCCATCTCCAGCACTGCTTCCACATGTGGTCACCCATCCAGCAACAAGCCCATGCCGTTCCAGCTTAGCAAAGGTGTCTTGACATGCTAGCTCAATGGAGAGCTATGCAGAGAGGTACTGTCTGGATTCTTTCCCAAGTGTGAAGGGTTTTTTTTTTTTTAACTTGTTGGACATTGTTGTTTTCTATTTGCTTTTACATGGGGAAACACTCAAAAACAGCATAATCCACGGGCAACCTGATGTATATAGCGCATTTTATCATGGAGGCAGATGAAGAAGAGGCCTCATAAGGCCTAGTTTCAAATGGCCCACAAATTCAGAAATCCTCCAGGCATTGTCAAAGATGAGGTGGATGAAAACTGTGGAAAGAACCTTTTAAAGTCAGGATATCCCCTGCTATTGCAGCTTTGGCAAATACCAGTTCTTTTATTATCAAAGACTTTTAATGGGCAGTTAATGGCAATCATATATTTAAAAATGCAGCCAAGTGTATCCATTGATTCCACACAAGGGCATAATTTACCATTATTTTATTTTACCAATACCAGCAAGTTTTTGTTTAAGTTTCCAGGCCTATATGGTTGCAAAAGTAAGACTGATTTTTATTATTTATTAATTCATTTATTTAAAGTTTTTGTATGCCGTCCCCTTGCTATATAGCCTCGGGACGGCTCACACAAATAAATAAAAATAGTACAAATACAGTTAAAATCTGGAAACAGCCTGGATGCACAATTAAAACCTATAAATTTTAAACATTATTAAAATATTGTTTGACTAAAAAGGTCTTAAGCCTGGCGCCAAAAAACAAACGACGATGGTGCCAGGCAGACCTCTCTGGGGAGCGCATTCCACAGATGGGGCGCCACTGCAGAGAAAGCCCTCCTCTGGGTACTTTGCTTCCTGGTGTCTCTCACAGAGGGCTCCTGAAGGCGGGCCTCTGCTGCCGATCTCAAGGGGTGGGAGGGCAAATATGGATATCAGCTCAAAAGTTCGAATAATATTTCTGGTGACAACTGGAAAGGGTTTCACCACCCTGTCTCAATTTGAATAATTGACAAGATTGTGGAATCTAGTTTTTCTTGGGGTAGAATTTCCTTTTTAAGCACTGTGTCTTTATAGTGCAGAGTGCTTTACCATTTTAGAAATCTTCATACAATGCATGTGTAAAATGAACAATTATACTACAAAACAGATGACTCTCTTAAGTCACAAGGCAGCTTTTACAGGAAGTCCTGGCAGGCTTGCTGCAGGAAACTATCAGTGTTTCTTTTATGGGTCAGTTTGTTCTCAAGATTCAAAGGAAGCCCCATGAATGCAGACTTCTTACCCACAATATCTTCATTCAAAAAGGCCAGTCCATCCACCTGATGGGAAGAGGTCTCATTACCCTGGTCATCTGGGAACTGAAACTCCACTTCAAAGGGTCTGAAACATGGAAAATGCAGGAGAGTTATATATGGGAAAAACTAAACAAATGACCAACGAACCAATCGTGTTGTACAATTACTAGGACAAGCTACACGAAATGCCTCCTCTTTGCCAGTCTCACTTTGCAGCTGTTCAAAGAATGTAAAACCATTTTTAAAAGCAAGTTGGAAACAGGACTGCAGCAATCACCTAGTTCCATGATGGAGCACCTGCGTTACACTTAAGAGGCCGTCATGATCAGTCCCTGGTATTTCCAGCAAAAAGGATTAGGTAGGTGGCAGGAAACCCCTTTCCTCAACATCATGAACCCGGGCTCAGCCTATTCACAGGTCAAACAAAAATTCTCAAGTATCTTGTACTTGCAGAAGTGCAACCAATATCCCATCTGTCATAGCCAAGTGATAATACTCCTCCTGCACCACCAGTAGTGGCATGAAAGCATTAATTCCCATCAAGGTCTCCAAGACGAGGCGGCAATGTTTAATGAGCCTGCTTGAATGGTCTCTGTGTTTCTGGCACTACAGACTAAAGCACCTGATCTGCTGGGTTATAGAACAATTTTGTGGGTTCTTGGGGCAGTGTAATCTCAGCACCCTTTGAGGATCACAGCAGTGTTGCTAATCACAGCACCCCGCCACACCCAAATACAGCTGGCCAGAGGAGGCCCCACAGGAAAACACCACAGCCACACTGAATTTCCTGTCTCAGAAGGGAAGGGGGATAAGAACAAAATGAGCTTTGTGTAACCCATGCTAACATGCCAGCCTGACCTCGAATATAGTAATCAAAGGGACAGTGGAAACTGGTTGCAGCCGCCATGAAAGTTGCAAACATGCAGGGAGTAAGAACAAGGCAAGCCCGTGTGAATCTTGAGCAGATAAGAAACAGGCATGGGAAATGTCCAGTCTTTGACAGAAGAAAGAACTCTTTGAAGCCAGCAGCACTGCGGGTGGGGCTACACTGATGGACTGAGGCATTAGAGGTGCATTAGGTGACCTAATCGCTTACGCAGGGTATAAAATGCATGTACCAGGGTGTAACTTTCGAGACACTGGTTTCGGCTGTGTATTTATTTATTTATTTGGAACACTTATATGCCGCCCCATTCGCAAAAGCCTCAGGGCGGCTTCCAATACAAATAAATAGCTATACAAATACATAAAAATCTGGAGACATCCCGGCATATATATAAAATCAATAAATACAATCAACAATTAAAATAACGTTTAAATAAAAAGGTCTTGGCCTGGCGCCGAAAAACAAATAACGATGGCGCCAGGCGGACCTCTCTGGGGAGCGCATTCCATAGGAGGGGTGCCACCGCAGAGAAAGCCCTCCTCCGGGTACTCACCCTCCTAATAGGCTTCACGGAGGGTTCCCGGAGAAGGGCATCGGCTGCTGATCTCAAGGGGTGGGAGGGCATATTTGGATGCAAGCGTTCCTTTAGATAACCAGGACCCAAGCCGTTAAGGGCAGCTCTATTTTGAACCAACTGAAGTATCCGGACCGGCTTCAAGGGCAGCCCCACGTAGACTGCGTTACAGAAGTCTAACTGGGAAGTTACCAGTGCATGTGTCACTGTCGTTCTCCAGGTAGGGACGCAGCTGATGGATCAGCCGAAGCTGATGGAAAGCGCTCCTCGCCAATGCTGCCACCTGAGCTTCTAGCGACAGCTCTGGGTCGAGGAGCACTCCCAAGCTCCGGACCCTGTCCCTCAGAGGGAGTGCAACCCCATTCAGGACAAGGTCAAGGTCCCCTACCCTGAACTGCCTACCAACAGGACCTCCATCTTGTCTGGATTGAGCTTCAGTTTATTGGCCCTCATCCAGCCCATTACCTCGGCCAGGCACCGGTTCAGCACAGCCACTGCCTCACCTGGATTAGTTGAAAATAAGAGGTAGAGCCGGGTATCATCAGCGTACTGATGGTTCTGCAGCCCACACCTCCGGATGACCTCTCCCAGCGGTTTCATGTAGATGTTGAATAGCAAGGGGGACAAGATGGACCCCTGAGGAACTCCATGGCATAACTGCCATGGTGCAGAGCCATAGTCCTCCAGCACCACCTTCTGAAATTGGCCATTGAGATAGGAGCAGAACCAGTGCAAGGCAGTGCCTCCAACCCCCAATCCTGCCAGCCTATCCAGAAGGATACCATGGTCGATGGTATCGAAAGCCGCTGAAAGGTCCAGGAGGACCAACAGGGACGCACTCCCTCCATCTCTCTGCACAGGTCATCGTACAGGGCGACCAAGGCAGATTCAGACCATGGATGAGTGATGATTTATTATGGACCGACCTGGCATTTAGCAACAACACCGACAGGCCCAGGGGGCAGTTGATAAGCCTAACTGGAACCCTCCGGCTGGGGGAATAACCAGAAGGGGGAACAGGTGTCAACCATCTGTCCCTCCTTCTTCTATGCAAACTCGTTAGACCTCCAAGGCCATAACGTCCATTGCCCATGACCACCCCAATGGCGGCGCCCATGCGCTCCCCAGGCAGCCCCATCACTGTAGCCAGAGATGAATCTATTAAAAAATTAGACTAAAAACACGTCAAAAACCCTTAAAAACACCCCCTCAACCACCCAGTACAAATTACAATTCCCACCAGCCAGCCAACCAACAAAGTCCCTGGCCAGGCCAGCCCCCACACGGTCCTGAATGGTCCCAAATGGCAACAAGGCCCTCTGGCCATCGCCCTTTGGCTGCCGGCCCGGTCGCGTCCGGCGAGTTATGCCGGTGGCTCGTCCCCCGCCCCGCCCCCAATCCGGCGTAGCTCTCACCCATGCCGGCGGGGGAAGGGGCACGGGCGGCCAGGCAGCACTCGCCGGCAAGATGGCTACTCGGCCTCCCTGGCGTCGGTGTCGTCCATCCGCGGGCGATGTCCGGCCCCGTCGTCCTCCGGCCCCCGGGCCCAGCGATGGCCGCCATTGGCTGCCCCCAGGACCGGCAGGTGCGCCTCGCAGAGTCCTCGGTGGTGGTGGCCGGTGGTGATGGGGGGAGCCCAGTACCCCCTTTCATCTCCCTTTATTCTACAGAGCACTAGAATAAAGCTGGTTTGGCGCTAAGTCTCGTCCCAGGCTCCTTTTGACTCGGGGTCTGGGGCCCACCTGGGCTCGCCCGAGGCTGCTGACCGGCTGAGTGTGGTAGCAGCGGTACAAACTGCGCCTGTGTGGATTCCTGACCGCCTCTACATGGACAAGACAAGAGCAGCTCACCTGTTCTTCTGTTGCCTGTCATCCAGTCGAATGTCCCAGGCGAAGCAGCCTTGCTCACAGCCGGCCACCAGGTATCGGTCTGGGCAGGAGGGCACGAGGGCGATCCGCAAGGGCGTGGTGACCGTCTCCAGCACAAGCAGCTGCCTGGCAAGTGAAGCAGGTTTCAGTTCCTGCTGTCCCTGAACCGTTCAGCCTTTTGCAAGCATTTTTAATGTTTATTTTCAATGTGCAATCCCCAAACAACCCAACTCCACTAAGCCGACCCAACCCACCTAAGAAAAGCAACAAACAGCAAATAAATAAATGAAACAAAACCATAGCACTATCTAGGCCTAATCTACACATGGATCAATCTGTGGCTATTCAAGGTCCCTTTGTTGATGTATGCATGCAATTATTCTAAATAACAGAGAGCCAGTGTGGTGCAGTGGTTAAGAGCGTGGGACTGGGACTCAGACGATCTGGGTTCGAGTCCCCGCTCGGCCATGGAGCCCACTGGGTGACTTTGGGCCAGTCACAGACTCTCAGCCCAACCTACCTCACAGGGTTGTTGTGGGGATAAGATGGAGAAGGAGAATGATGTAAGCTGCCTTGAGCCCTTTGTAGGAAAAAGGCAGGATATAAATCCAAAAATAAAATAAAAAATAAAATATTCCTTTGTAAACATGAAATATGGGGTGAAAAGCTGTCCATGGGTGGACACCTTCTGAGGTTAGGTATGTCATCTGAAAACCATTGTGATGGTCCAGAAGGAGCTGGCTGGAGCTTCCCATCTGTGGGCCCAGGTCATGGCTGAGCAAAGGGATAAACACCAAAAGAGGGAATGGAGGAAGCAGAACAGATGAGTGGCAACCACTGATTCTGAACAAGTACAACAGCGGACTGACTGAGCTGCAGAGTCCTAAACCACACAATGGGAGGGAGCCTAGCAGGCCTCTCGGTTGAGCCCCCACGCAATGCAGGACACAAGTCACCCACCCAGAATTCAACCCAGCCGGACCTTGGTCAGCTTCCAAGGTTTGGCAGAATGAGGCACTTCAGGCTACTGACTGAGCAGGCAGCCTCTGTGATGGGCTCGCAGTCCTTGTCTGAGGTCTGGCTTGCAGGTACCTGGCTCTCCCAAAGACTGCACATGGGCCCTGAGCTGTATCATCGCTGCTAGTTTATTGCAAAAGATGTCTTATCATTACCTTTCTTTGAAATTGTAGTCACAGTCTGGAACCCCAATGTCCCACACACATATTTTCTTGTCATAGGATGCAGCTGTTGGTGAAGAAAAAGATGCAGTATAACCTCCACACAGAAAGACCACCTTCCGAAAACTAAATGACCAGCAGGCGCCAGAGAATCCTCCCACCTCCTCTTCTCTGCTCCCAGCTCCCTCCTCCTCCATCCCTCTGAAAAGAGTACCGGGGCATGAAAGCTGGCTTCTAAGTATACCTCAGATGACAGAGAGCATTTAAAAAATTACGTGGCTTTTTACAAGGATGTGCTCTGTAATAGGCATGACGATATTTAAACCTGGGAAGGGGCAAGGATGTATGAGGTGGCTCTAGGCAACGCTAGAGAGGGAAAGGGCGCTCAGTCTCTCTGTATGAAACAGGCCGAACACGGGTGGCCTCCACACTCCAGGCAGAGGAATCAACGAGGCCGTGTGCGGCCTTCCGCCCCAGGGACAGGGCCTGGTGCACCATCTCTAGCAAAACTAGCCAACTCCTGTAATCAGCGGCATTTTACTGAGCCTCTTCTGCAGACCCCACACCTTCTTTTGACTGTGTTCACCTTATTTTGTTATCACCTGCCCAGCTGCTGGGCCCATGGCTCAGCATCTACAAAACACTCTGTATATGTTCTAAAAACTTGTAGTTGGTGGTGAGAGCCACTCCCCGGGAGCGTGCTGTCGCAAGTCACTGCAGGGGTCCTGGGTGACAGTTCAATAAAACTGCTGAGGTTCAAGGCAAAACAGGTCTTTCTTGACTGAACCCAGGTACCCTGCCTTGTGGCTGCTATCAAGGCGGCCCGACAGGGTCCAGCAACCTCACCCTACAAGCGTATCTGTCCCAATGGACCAGAATCCCTATTGTCCCCACAATGCCCCCATCAGCATTCATCTAGCATCCAAATGTCATGCGGTGCTGCAGGTAGGGCGGAAGATGGTTTGTGTCCTTCAGTCCATGACTGCCTGACAGACATGGAAGGTACAGAGATAAGCAATTACCATTTAAGTTCAGCATCTGGTAACTGCACATCTAATTGAATTCAAATTCATTACCTCAAGCAAACATCTACATAAATTCAATCATTTGAGTAATTTAATCAGCCTGACGTGATTTGAGTCATTTAATCAGCTTGCAAGTTTTGTCTCGCTGTTGCAAAATTCTGGCTTTAGATTTAGAATACAGAAACACAAAAACAGCAGGTCAGAAGGGGTCTCCTGGGCCATCTAGTCTGACCCACAGCTCCGCTCATGACATGCCTACACTGTGCAAATGACCAAACCAAACCTCCCCTTGTAATAAACAAAGCTAGTCTGATTGCACATTCCCTCAGGAAAGGCAAGCCTTCAGACAAGAGCTCCCTGAACAAGCCAGGTAGTGGGACTTACTGAAAAGATGCGTCTCACTGGTAGGACTGAAACAGGCAGTGGCGATAGCCTTCTTGTGGGCCTTGATTTCCCCGTAGCAGTAATCAGCAGTCACGTGAATTAGCTTGACGATTCCTCGCCTCCCAGCTGCAGCCAGCACATTGTGCCTTTTCTTTCTCCCATCACTGGTCACCATGGTCAGGGTTGTCCATGCAACAGTGTAAAACTCCTAGATTAGAAACGTGTGTCAGGAAACCAAAGCCCCCGATAGAAATGCCAGGGGAAAAGCAGTGAGAGGTCCGTGTAAACACCTGTCTTATAGGTAAACCCTCCTACGGATCTGTTCAAAACTGGGCTGTGCCATGTAGGTGTGTTCCATGGGCCCGCACACACACACACACACACATTCCATACAGCCCAGATGGCAATGCCAAACCAAGCATGGTTAGTGGTCCTCACTGTCAAATCCCAGAGAGTAATTGGGCTAGTGCTCACGCAAAAGCTTTTACCCAAACTGGTCTCCTGCTTAGAAAAAGGCTGCTCAGTTTTTTCAAGCGGCTCCTTTCAGTAAGAAAGAATGCAGAAAGATGTCTTGTGCTGAATGAGGCTTCTCCTCCATCCAGCTCATTAGCAGACAATTTCAGGCCAGGGCTCTTCCCACCCTACCGAGATGTCAAAGAGCGGCCTGGGAGCTTGTAAGCGCAGCTCTGAGGCTCGGTACATCTTTCCTTTTTGGCCTTGTTTTTTACATGTAGGGACTGAGCAGGTACGTGAAATTTTATTGTATATTTTGATTCACTTACTTCTTCTGCTCCAAGTGTTGTTCACCATCAAATGACTTACATCAAGTTCATTTTTAATACTTTTATTTGTCTTTGTGCAGTTTTGCACCTAAATTAGGATAAAAGGCACCATGACCTCAAGTCTTAGTTAGGTGCAGCAGCCGAATTTGAGAACTGTAAATTCACATTTGTGAACCATAAATTTGTCAACGGACCAACTACTTTTTCAAACATGGTTTGAAGTGGGTTTGGTGTTAACTATGGTTTGGCCCTATGTCTGAGTTAACAAGCCACGATTACATTTGCGGGTCTGCCTTCAGAGCCCCATCTGCAGCACAGAAAAAAAAGCACTGGGTGGACAGAAGAATGGGCTACACAAGCAGCCCTAAGCTATGGTTTGCTTACGCATCTGGAGCCCTAGGCAAGTTTATTCTTCCCTCTAGCAAAATAAAGGCAAGAAGGCAAACTGACAAATGTAATCAAAGGCATGAGTGATCTTTGTGAAAAGAAGAAGGTGGTCCATGTGCCAGTTTTTTTTTTTTAAGGATACTCCTTATGTCTTAAGAGCATCCTGTTTTGTACTTCTTGAGATTCTACCACCCAAGACAAAGTGTGAGCTGCCCCATTCGCTGAAGTAGTTACTTTTGACAGCTGTCAAAGGCAAAGCACCATTTCCAGTGAGATTTAGAAAGGGTTGAACAATTTTCAGTGGGGCAGGAAAGGAACCAGGCATAGGGTGTCTGTCGTCTAACCTTTCTAAATCTCTCTTGAAAAATGCAGGTATTCTTTTGACAGAGGCTGCCCATTCTGCCTCTCCAAAGGCCCCCGTTTTTGCACCTGCTCAGCGGGGAACATTTGCAGGTTCATTAAAAAAACACAAATACTTGCAAAGATTTTCATGGGGGATGTCAAAAAACACCTTGGGAACCATGCTCTGCCCCTTGAAGCAGCTGCTGGGGTCTTCTGGAGAGATTTTGCTGCTTTAAGATTTATATGTTCGAATTCTGAAGAGGAACATTTCGGCCAAGAGTGAAAGCAGGAACCTGCCCTTCCCCTTTTCTCTCCCGGGTGAATGTTGTACATTTCATTCCAGAAGCACACTTTCTGGCTACAGGATTCAGAAGGGGCGCTTGGTTTCGACTCACTGATGCCTGTGAGGACATATCCTTATGTGAATGAAGTCCGCGGCCAGTGCTTCACCGGCCAGCAAGTCAGCTGCGATTGCCCTCTAGCCCACCTGAGCACAGCACTCCTGCTTCCTCACCTCCCCAGCCACCTTGTACTTTTTCAAGACGATGCCCGTCTCACAGTCAACCAAACACACAGAGTCCCCTCCACAGGTTGCTGCTGTCCTGGATGAGCTCACCACTGGGTCTGGAAGAGTGAAAAGCACACTGTCAGCAATGCCGGTCGGTACAGCTCTCTCATGTTCGTTTAACCAGACTTTCAGTCTCTGGAAATGTTGAGGCAGGTGACCGAAGTATTTCTGGCATGTGTGCGCGCCCCAGGAATTCTACATTGTTCTACATTATTCGGGGCAATAGTGAAATTCAGCAGAGGCCGATAGCGACCATTGATCTAGACAACCACACAGTCCGTCCTCATTTGCCAACTGTGAAAATCTCTCGGCTTATCCAAAAGGGATGTACAGCGCCCTTTAATCAAAGACTACAAGCCAAAGAGTCAAAGAACATTGGTTTGTACTCTGATATGAAACTCCATCTAAAATATACAGCAAGACTTCAGTAATTTTCACACCATGTTCTCTTGATCCCTTAGCAACTGATTATTTTTTCTTACCTTGTGTACAGAACCCCTACCCTGAACATATTTCTGGTGCCAACTTTCTCCACACTGCCCTTAATCCTCATTCTGAACTGCCACAAGACTGACACTTAATTTTCTCCCCAACCTTCTCCCTCGTTTCATGTGTTTCGCAGAACGTATGAGTGTCATGTGTTCTGGGGAAGAATTTTCTCATCTCTAAAGCAAGGCCTGCTGCTATTCACTCTGACAGGTACAAAACAGATCCATCATCATCATCATCGGCATCGCACTGCATTCATTTCCTCTTTTTTCCTCTTGCAAGGAACCTTTGGTAGCTTACATAGTTCTCTGCTCCATTTTTATACTCTCAACAACAACCCTGTGAGGTAGGTGAGGCCGAGTGTTCCTGACTGAGCTCCCTGGCTGAGTGGGGACTAAAACCTGGATTTCCCAGTCTAACAGTCACGATCATACTATACTGGATCTCAGATGTAAGCTGTCCTGAAAACTTGATGCTACAACACTAAATAAAAGACCCTTGGTATCTCAAGATGCCTTCAAGCAGCATATTCACAGTGTGAAACTGATGGGGAAACTTCACCACATTGCAAAGCACTTGATGAACTGGGCCATCAAGAGCTACTACCCTAAATCCAACCGCTAAGGGAGGTCTCCAGTGCCTCCCTCCTGCCCTCCCTCTGGCTCACAGGCCCACTGGGCACAGCAGCCCCTGTGTAAGTGAAACAGCCCTAAGGCCCGAGGACAGGAATAGGCCGCCGTCTGCAGAAAGTGAGCAGAGAGTTCATGCGGCACAGATGCTTCAGGGGAGCCTGCTGCCTGTGCATCCGCCCAGCCTGCAGCGTCCTCCTTCTGGTCTGCCTGCGTTGCCCGGCTCCACTCACCTTTCCTTGTCCCGCAGTCCAGTGGCGGCTCAAAGACGCAGGCCCACAACTGGGTCTTGAAGTCATCTCTGTTGTTGCCTTTGCTGTGACACTGCAGGAAATGGACCGGCTCCAAACGGATGGTCTCCTAAAAGAAAGCCAGTCGTTTTAACCACCGGAGGGGCAGCCTCTCTTACACAAAGGAGCAAACATACGTTTGCAGGCAGAAGTGGGGGGCTACGCTTGGGAGCACGAAGTCCCATGCTCAGTGTTACGCTGTGGTCAAGCTTTTTGGGAAAAACTGGTGGACATGCCTCTGCCTCTCACATGGCCTAAGCTGCGCACAGTTTGCGTCTGCTGCCAGCACCCTCCTCTGCAGGGACCAAGCAAGGGAGGAAAAGGCTGGGCTCCCTTCCCGAGCCAGATCCGCCACATCCCTCCCCTCAGTGCCCTGAGAAACAACCTGGAGAGAGAGACAGCAGTGTGTGTGTGTGGGAGGGGGGCGGGGGCGGGAGGGAGAATAAGAGAGGTGACAGGCAAGAGCAAGAAGGGAGAAGAAAGCGCATGGACGAGAGGAGGCGACAGGCAGGGTAAAAGTAAGGACACATGGCCACCCCTAGACAAAGATCATATATATGTTTTGAGAGGCTTCTCGCTGACAGCATGAAATGAAAGGCTCTTGGGACAAATAAATCAATTAGTGAAAGAGGTACACAGTCGCTTGCTCGAAGGTCCTCCGCTAGGAAAGAGATCTACATAATGAACTGGCCGAAGGCTAGGATGGTAGTACGTTTAAGCCAGACTTCCATTCCTAATCTTTCTGCCTGCCACTGCTTCTACAGGATGCCATGCTCTCATTTATCACTTATTATGTGTTCATTATTAATATTTTCCTTCCAAGGAGCTCAAGGTGGCTCACATCATTTGCCTCCTTGCAACCTTACCCTCACAACAACAACCCTGTGAGGTAGGATGGGCTAAGAGCCTGTGACTGGTCCAAAGTCACCCAGTGGGCTAGAACCCAGATCTCCCGAGTCCCTGCCCCATGCTCTTAAGCACTATACCCCACTGGCTCTCTTGGAAGTTCTCCTCCCTGTGGAAATTGCCATGAACTCTCTCTCCCTGTCGCATCAATAAGCTCCTGAGGGATGGGGGAATTGGATTTTGTCCCCCTGGTCCCTTCAAACGACGACTGGCAATCTCAGTACTGGTTACTCCCACTGGTGTTTGAGCACGCGTGGGAGCACAGCCGTCCCAGAGGAATGCTGCAGACCAATGAAGGCAGACAACTGCGGCAGGGAGTGGCAACCTTCCCCAGCCAGGTGTCTTGCACTGGACAGCAGTTTCTCCAACTGCCAACAAAAATGTCCAAAGGCTGGCAGGGAATGGTTGATGCTGCAGGCCAACACACCTGCAGGGTGCCAAGGTGGGGAAGACTGCGGAGCAGGATCTTCACTGTATTATATTTATGGGAAGGACACTAATTTCCATGGGGAACTGCATGTGTTGAAAGTCTGGCTCCTACAGACGCTCCCAGGGTAGGTTACTTCAAGCTGAAGATGCTCCCAAATTGTTGGGTAGTGTGAAATGCAATGTGGGGGTGTGGGTTCTAGAAATGAAAGAGGTCCTTAACCCAGAGAGAATAGGTATATCAGGACGAAGATCTGACTAGAACCCCTCTCCTAATATCTGGTTCACTGTGTGAAGAGCTTTTTGTTTGTTTTTTTGCATGCCATTGTGTGAACTCCCACCTTCAACCTGAGATGGTACAGCCTTGTGCAATGAGAACAAATCACAAACATTTGGGGGAAACTCAGTATGAATAATCTGAAACTATTTTTTACATGGGTCATCTATAGATGGACCCAATGTTCTATGTTAGGTTTCCTTTCACGATTTCAGAACTGTACTTGTTTTAACAACAGGGAAAGCATCATTTACCCCATGTAAGTGTATCTGCATCACTCAAAACGCACACCACAGTATCTCTACGCGTTTTGCTGAGATGGCCTTTCTTGTTTTTGGGCGCTCATTGCTTTTTCCAAGCACATGGGCTCCTTATCAGCAACTGAACTGCTAGAATGTTACTTTCCTGCTCTAGCAAGCCCACCAGTGGAAATCTGTCGGGGTACCTCGCCTTCCAAGTCCTTGACAGGCGTGTCGCAAGCATCTCTCACATCCTCCTCTTCCTCCTTGTGCTCCAGTTTCTGTTGGCTGGACCTTTTGTGGCTTTGTGCTTTGGGGAGTCGGCCCCCATTCCGATGGGCCCCTTCCAGATCCAGAGCCGCCGGGGACTCCTTGGTCAGCGGGCGAGAAGTTTGTGCCCCCTCTGGACTGCGCTCATCCTGCAAGCGGCTAGACTTCTTGGGGCTGGGAGACGCTTCCTCTTTCGAGCTGCTCCGGGAATGGGACCGCTTGCTCGCAACCGATTCTTTGGAGCGAGCCCCTTTCCTCTTGCCGGGGGTTACTGCGCCCTGTTAAAAGAGAACATTGGCAATTTCCAGCCATTCATTCTCCCAGCAAAACAGCCAAGAAAATAGACGTTGCAGCGCTGCCCACGTTCGTGAGCCAACCCTACCCTCCTTGCCCCGGCTCCCAAACACCAGACGGTCCTTGACTTTATTGCCACTCCACAGCTAACAAGGCGATGCAGCTCTAAGAGCCCTCCTGCAAGTTGCAGGATAGCCTCTGCTCATGTGAAGAGAGAGCATTTAACCCAAACTGGACACTTTTTTCCAACCGTTCCCTTTCATTCATGCTGCAGACCCCCCACTCAGGGTGGCTCCCGCTGCAGAGACCCCTGCAAGCCCCTACTTGGGCGGCTCGTCTCTCCCTACGCCTCACCACGGGGTCAGGGACCAGGCAAGGGCTCTCGCTCCTCTCCTGCGTCCCTGCCATCTCCCCTCGAACAGGCCTGCTCTCATGGTCAGCCTGGAAAACTGCAGGCAGAGACCTTGATGGGGCTTCAAATGGTTCTGCCCCCCAGATCCTCCTGCCCTCCCACCCTCTTCAAAATCTGGTAATACAACACAGGCCCTTGGGAAATCAGCGAAGAGCGAGCCCATACACCCTTCTATAAAACGGCTTGTCAGCAGAGTATTCTGCCGAATTTTTCATGTTTACTAGAGGCTCTTTGCAGAGCTCTAACCTTAACAGCAGTCTTCTTTTCTGTCTCCGCAGTACTTTCCACAATTTCTTCCTCCTTGTCTTCATCCTCCTCCTCCTTGTCATCGTCCTCCTTCTCCTCTGCTTCCTCCTCTTCCTCCTCCTCCTCCTCCTCTTCTAAAGTCTCTCCCATTTCAGAAGAAGGCTTCTCTCCTTGATTCATCAGTGAAGTCAAAAATTCCTCGGCTATCATTTTCACCTAAGACGAGGGAATCAAGAAAACCAGCTAATATTAGCCAAGAAAGGTGCAGGAAAGAAGTAGTTTAAAATAACCTATAAGAGGCAGGTTAGATATTTTCCTCTCTAAAATGTTTATCCATCTCACCAACGGAAGTATTCCAGGTTTAAAATACTCAAGAGGGATCATCATTAAATTTCCTAAAAGAAGATTTTTAATATTTCTCAGAGAAATAACTTGTGATTTAGCAGAGGTCAACAAATTTGAGACAGCTTCCAGATGCTTGAATAGTTTTTCCTGTTTCTTCCAAGTAGGCTAGTTACTTGGATCAGTGCAGAATATTATAATTTGTTCTGTTATTCTTTTGCTGTGTTTGTTGCCTTTTCTTGCTATGATTCACATGCTATGAAGTGCCCCCCGACCTGCTCTCCAAAGAGTGTAAGTTGCTTAGCCCCAAGAAGTACAAACTGCTTGTTAAAGAAACTGAAAGAAGTAAAACAGGATGCAGAAGGAATGTGATGGTTAGCTTTACAGGAAAATAGCAGGAAAGAAGGCTTGCTTCAGCTAAGAAACTGCTTAAGATCAGAAATGTCTAAAGAAAACCCTAACAACATGGTGCCTTGTTTACTCTGTAACATAAAAGGAGGACCCAAAAATAGTCTGGGGCCTCAGCTTGGAATGACCTGCTATGTGTCTTGTTCTGCAGAATAAAAACTTAAAATCTTCACACCTTTTGTGTATTAGCTGGGCTATATGCACACCAGGCCACAAACACAAACAGCATTTGGAGAGCAACAGGGCTAATGCTGGGTGAAAACCTGCAAGCTATCACACCTTGATAGACTGCAGTTAATCAGGCTCAAGGGAGAGACTGTCAGACTACACTCACAGGAACACACAGAACAAAGCACACCTGCTCACAGGGTGTGACCTTAGAAAAAGCGGAAATGAAAACAGCCCAGAGCAGTGGTGGCGAACCTTTTAGAGACCGAGTGCCCAAACTGCAACCCAAAACCCACGTATTCATTGCAAAGTGCCAACAGTGCAGTAAAATCTGAATACTGAGGTTTTAAGTTTACAAAAACAACTCATACATTAACATCTTTTCTCTTAAAAGAAAAACACAGTAACAGAGCTTCCAATGATACAAGCAATTTTTAATTGAAAGGTAAAAGTTTGCATTTGGCGTGCTTTTGCACAATTAATGCAAACTAAAATCTTGTGTTAATAAAAACGAATGTATTAAAACTCACAGCCAGTCCAGGCAAATATATATGTCCTTGGCAGAGCACTGACCGGCCATGTGAAAGCTCGGATGAGCCATGGCTAATGAGTCGTGGCTTGTGATGCCATCGCCTGGCCCTGCTACTCCTTTCTGAGCATGTGCATGGCCCCTGTGTGCGCTGTTATCCGACGCTCGGCTGCTGGGGCAACTTGGCTCGCGTGCCGACAGAGAGGGCCCGCTGCGGCATGCGTACCACAGGTTCGCCACCACTGGCCTAGCGAAATGGATCTTCTTTGTGAGTGATAAACATGCTTACACCTTGCTTTCCCATCTGGATTCCTGCTGTGAAAACTACCTTTATTTCACTATTCTGAAAATATTTAGATAACTTCGTTCCAGTAACTCTTCACTTCTTTACCTTACTCAACTTACTGAGGCTTATCTTTACCTTTTTGGTCTTACTAAACATTGGGTTTTTTTGAAATATCAGTTGAAATAAATGATCTTGAAGCATGTATTAACTGCATTATCTTCCACGCTAAAGAAATGTGTCCTTCTGGAATAACACCACCAACCTCTGCAGTGGTAATTCTGGTATCTTTCCAAGATGCTTCAGTCGTCAGGGAGCTGTGCCCAGTAAACACTGTCTTTAAAAGGTCGTTCTTACATTTGCACTGAATAAAAAAGTGGGTCTATAATGAATGAGGTACATTCTTGAATTGGCTTTCTGAAAGTCCCAGATCTCCCACATTCGCTTCTGATTTGGTTGAGTCATTCTTATCAAAAGGCTCTATTAACAGAGCCAAAAGTGACTTCCATAACATATTGTTTGTAAATGATGCTTCCTGAAGAGCTCCAAGAACAATCCCATCTGGAGATACTCAGAACTGGATAGATTCCTTGTTACCCATCTTCTGAGAGTTTCCTTTATAAGGGAGCAATAAAGCAGTTTCTGGAAAAAACCCTCTAATTGCAGTAATGATTGCTTCCAAGTAGTCTACAATTGTGTCACTGTATTTCTTATCATGGGATACATGGAAAGATGGGAGGAGAAACAAAAACTTTTAGAGGAGAAAGAAAAGGGGCTGCATAAAGAGTAAGACTTTTCTTCCACGGTTCTCTTTCCAATCTTGGCCCAACCTATACTTCAACTCAGTTCATGCAATATGATGAGCCATCCTGGTTTGGAAGCCATGGTGGCTTAGCATGTTGTCCAAACCTGGCAACCTGTTGTAGTGTTTCATTGCCACCTCTGAATTTTCTATGTCATCTGAACCTGGCTGTCATCAGCTTGCCTGTCACTTTTTAGTCTAATAAACACAGAAAATGAAAAGTTCAAACGGAATGATTTCCCCAAGTCATCCTAGAAGCACAAGAAAGGCAAGACGGGAAGAAATCATATCCTTTCCACTTTTTTTGGTGTCCCCCCTTAAGGTGGTTGAAGCCCCATTGGTGAGGGTGTTCAAGGATAGGCTGGACATGCACATGGTAGACATGCCATGAATGAAGCTGGCTGGAGCTGGTGGTCAAACTAGATGGCCTGGGAGGCCCCTTCTGACTCATTCTGTTTCTAAGGTGGAGGACAGTGTGTGTATCTGACCTTCTTCAGGGAGTAAACTTACATGGAACCAGTTCCTCTGAAAAGGGAATGAACATGTTTATGAATGTTTAGAATAAACAGGCTGCACACAAAATAGCACTTTCAGAGAACTAACTTATACAAAATAACTTACCTAACTTGTGAATTATGTAAACTCAGAAATAAAAATAGTGTGCATTGATGTATTTTCTAACAAAAGTAACTAAAACTTTACACTAAATTAATGTTTTAGAGACCTAATTTCTTTTTCTGTGTTCAAACTCAAAACACACAAATACACAGACACATTAATCTATAAACTGAACAAATGTTTAGCCTATTTGCAAGAGAAACAGAATTGAAAGAGAATGCTCTCTAAGACTGTGATTTATCACTCTCTTTTCTCAGGTTCTGAAATGGGTATGAAATCATTTTTCAGTCTTAGACCCTAGGTTGCTTTCACTGCACAGGCCTGCTTTGTGATTTCTCCAAAGTCAAACTTCACCTAGGGATCCCTACATCTCTTCTACCTTCAGCTATCTTCTTTTTTAGTCAAATGCATGAATGTGCCAAGGAGGAAAAGGGGCCACTTGGCTCCTTCTTTGCTGATGTTAGTTTTAAAAGCCTAGAGGCACAGGTAACCATGAAACAGCCCTTCGGGTTACCAGCTAAATATTTTGCTCTGGTCGTTTGTCTTCTTCCTTCTAACTGAATGGCCACCTTATTGAGTTTCGGGATAATAGTGCTGATCTTAGGAGTGCAGCAAGCTTGATAAGGTATTTTTGAAAGCAGTCTTGTGGATGGACATGAATAAATGTTTGTTGCTTCATTTCCTTTCTTCAAAAACATCAGTCAGGTGCAAGTTTGTTGACAGAATCATTGGTTAAACAAAGTCTAAACAAAGCAGCTGGCACAATCGCCTTACTGAATGAAGCTATAAGCACATTTTTAAGTTGCTCAGAGCTCTGTAAAATACAGAGACCAGAAAACTCTTGTTTATTTCAGACTGTGCCATGCTATGGGTATGACATAAACATTATACCAACTACAAAGCATACATTTTTTTTAAATTCTCAAACCCTTAATATTTTTACTGCGTCCCTCTGTTACAATCTAACGTACTCTGAAAGCAACAGCCTGATTGCTCCAAAGTCTGGAGCCCTTAAGCATACTAGTTTCATTTAGGTCAGGCATTGCTGCATGTAGGATTCGGGTGCCACTGTGTTTATCGGTGCAACTGAAATCTACATGCAGTGTCAAGACCACAGCTCTGAATGCACTTGAAAGTTTGTTACCCTGCCTTTGTAGCAGTCTGTAGCAGGTCTGAACGCTCCCACAGGCCGAGCCTGGATCTTAAAGCTACCCTTGGTAAAGAGCTTATGCTGATACAATAGAGCTTCAGTTGGCATTGCTTTGACAATGACACTCTGCTTTCATGAAACTGAGGAGTTTTCCTTTCCTGGTGTTAAGATGGCACACTTGGCCTTGAATGTTTCTTATCAGGCATTACTTCTGTGAACAATGGGCAGTAAGGAGCCTGTGCTTTGATGTTCAGGCAGAGAAGAAACTTCAGCCATGCAGGCTGGAATCCTCCTTGCTAACTCACTATATTTAGAAAAACAGAAACAGAGCGAGTCAGAAAGGGCCTCCTGGGCCATCTAGTCTAACCCCCGGCTCCAGCCGGCTTTCTTACCTCTTAGCACCTAGGTAAACAATATTGCTCTTGTGGCCACATATTTTAATTGTGTAGAATGCTGTATGCATGCAGTACAATGCTGTAAGTGTGTAATCCATGAAAGCTAGCCACTTCCTTTGCTCTCTGGTTCAAAATCTTTTTGAGGGGGATTCTGCTGTTTTTTCTGGACCCGGCTGATTGGGATCTTACACTACAGGAGCCCTAAATGTTATGGAAGTCTAGCTGCATGTTTGCTACTACTGCAATAATAAACTTCTTAGGAAACCTGCAGTTGGCATATCTTGTCCTGGGAATCCCCCAAACCCTTCTGCCCCTGGCCAGCGCAGCACAGCCTAACACATCAGCCACTGAAGCCTGGCTGGCCTGGGCAGAAATCAGTTCCTTACCTCCCTCCTTTTCTGTTGCCTCGAGAGGAAAAGAACTCAAAACTCAGTTAATCCAGATTCTATGCTACCAAACAGATATGGCATGAGGTTCCAATGCACAAAAGGCTACAGAGGATGTTTGAGACTAAACTTACCCGCCACCGGGTGAAGTCGCTGAGAGAGCTGGGCCCATATGCCACATGGGCTTGTGCCGACCTGATGAACTTTTTCCTGACTGATTTCAGTTGCTCGGGAGAAAACGTCTTAGGCAACTGGGTCCGAAAGCTTTTCCCCCAGTGAGCTGAGACCTAGACAGAGAAAGAAACACAACTGAACTTCTCTGAAATACAAACAAACAAAACCATGGAATAACATCCTGTTCTGAATTTGCAGGATATTAACTTTCTTTCTTAACTAACTGGAGATTTTAGCTGAGGGCTGATTTTAGTTGGTTGACCCACAAGCTGAGAGAAATGGCCTTGCTACAGCTGCGCTCAAACTTCAGAAAACAAAACCTAGCCCTAGTGGCCATTGCTGTCTTTTGGGGACCACATTTTGGTCACCTTTGTAACAATGGTTCCACATCCGCATATTAGAATTATGTTATGAGGAAATTAACAATTTCAACAATGCACCTACAAAAACAACAATATGCACACACAACAGAAGAACCAAGAGACTGCAGTCATCAGTAATGTGCTTTTTAACCCATCATTTAATTGGCTGCTTCACTGTCAATCTTTTCTTTTAATTCATTGTGCTTTTATGGTTTATCTCGTTTGGAAAAGCTGGATATAAATTTTAACAAAATAAATACACGCATATGCCGCCAAGCACGGTGGGTATAAAACAGGAATTTCCATCAAGCTGTTTTCTCAGGCTTTTTGTTGAGATTTTAATTTAATGACACTTTGTCTCCATTGCTTTTCCCTAGCCTCCTCTTCTGGCCTTGCTTATCAGCCTATGCACCAGATCTCATCAGAGATAATTCTACGTTTTATACCACGTGGTTTTGCTTTAGGGTCTTAAGAAAGCTTCATCACCGCAGGTCTTACCCTACTGGTCAGCTCCCGACTGTTGATAACTCGTACGTGATTGGCCAGCTTGGTGATGTCCTTGCCATTCAGCTGCCGGAGGTTTCGCAAAAGAAACATGACTTTATAGTCATCACTGGGCTGGAAATGCAACAAGGAAAGCAGTCCTGAAAGACATCCTTTAAACCACATCCCCATGGCAGACCCCAGTGCCCCCAACCATGCCATCGGGAGCATGCCAACTTGGCACACCTGCTGAGGAACCCAGCTGGCATCATGATGATGCACCCCACCCCTGGTTTAAATTCATTTCCTTTCCATTGTACTGGTCTCAACTGGCCATTTCTTTCATAATATAAGCTCAGCATTATTCAGAAGATGGAAGAGACTCCTAACACATTTCTGACAGGCTACCTAGATTAGAAAGGGAGGACTGCTCACCACAGTCCCAAGCAAAACCAAGCCCTGTCAAGAGGACAGCTTGCACTGGTCTCCAATTCCTACAGATATGTGAGGCCTGGCCCTAATGACAATACTTTTGCTTCCTTGGAATAATTCAAAGAGTCCAAAGAGCTTTGTAAGGACATGGACTCTCAGAACCTCTGCAAGTGCTCCGAAAATCTCGGGTTTCATGTTGTGTGAGAGCCAAGATTCCCTTCACTCCAAGTGAGTCTGACTTTCTGATTTCCACTGCCTTCTAAAAACCACACATTTTGATTGATTGATTGATTGACTGATTGATTGAAATCCTGCCTTTTTCTGACAAAGGGCTCAAGGCAGCTTACATCATTCTCCTCCTCCATCTTGTCCCCACAACAACAATCCTGTGAGGTAGGCTGGGCTGAGAGTGTGTGGCTGGCCCAGAGTCACCCAGTGGGCTCCATGGCTGAGCAGGGGGACTCGAACCCAGGTCGCCCGAGCCCCAGTCCCACGCTCTTCACCACTGCATCACACTGGCCGGACACACATACCACGCTGAAATGCCCAAATAAGGTCCTGGTGGCCCAACAAGAGAAACGTACGAAGAGTCCGGGTTTCGAGTGGCGATCCTCAGCTCCACAGATTCCAGCCCTAAGACCACCACATGCCAAACCTCTGCATGGACATTCAGTAGGAAGCAGGTCCAAGCCAGCCCACAAGACTTGTGTACTTTGCGTATGTTGCACAAAGAAGCTGCTGGTGATCCTGGACATTCATGGATGCGCTCTAGGCTCGGTTCACTTCCTGGCTGGGGCTGAGAGTGGGAAAAAATTGCATGCCTGCAAAAGAGCTGGGTGCTGGGCTGATTGTCACGGCTCTGCAAGGCAGGCCAACCTGCACAAAAAGTCACCACTGCTTGTCGTGTCGTGTGAATCCGCCCATGACCATTCTTGCCCTGATAAAGGCGGCCAATGAACTGCCCATTCAGGCTTGGGTGTACTCACGCAGGCTGCAGCGGCAAGCCAGGTTCGGTCCACTCACCGTCAGGTATACGTTGTTCGTGTAAGTCAGCTCCTCCAGCTGCGGGAACTGCTGCAGGGCTGTCACATCTTCAAGGTGGTTGTTGTTGCAGTTTAGGACGCGGAGGTTTGGCAGGCTCAGGTTGTCAGGAAGCCGCTCGAGCAGATTGTCGGAGAGGTCAAGTTCTTGGAGGTGGCGGAGATGGGAAAACAACTGCGGCTCCAAGTCCTCTGCTGTTATTTGCAATCTGGACAAGCTGGGGAGGCAAAGTTTCTACCGTTGATTCTCGTTGCAGCACTTTGCAATAAGAAATCCTCAGTCTTCAGACTCCTCAGTGAAACATCAGGTTTGCTGACATGGAAAACCTCCCTTGTCCCAGGTCCAGCCACCCTGAGTTTCCCAGAAGGTCACAGAAGCTTCCCTGATCCCCAATCTGCAATGTTTTGGTGGCTCCCCATTTTTTCTGCCGTTTTCCTCCATTCTAAAAACCAAAATGCTTTTCTCATGACTTAGTTATTGGCATTAAGAGTTGTAAGCTGGAACAGAGTGATAGATTTTGCATTTCTGTCTCCACTCCTTTGCCTTCAGCCCTGCCACCGTTGGAATTTGGCCTTGGGGAGCTTCTCCAAAGCTGAATTAGACACTTGAGTTGAAAGAAGTTCGCCACCCTTTCATAGACACTAGACAGTTAAGGCCAAATGTATCAAGATTTAATGACTTAAGCAAAATGCAACCTAAATAGGATGGAGTAAGTAACTGAAAACTAGATTGTCCATTCACAGGCATGATTGGAAAAAAAAATCTCATATTCAAAGGGAATATTCTACTGAATATCATTTATAGGTGCCAGTTGAGCAACAGCCATGGGCCAGAGATGGGCCCTTGGTCGGATCCAGCAGTCTCAAATTGAAACAGTACATTTTAAAACTATAAAAAATCCCCTATACCCCAGCCCCCTTGAAAAGATACATCTTAAACGTTGCTATCAAATAGGGAAAAAAACTGTAAAGAAACTCACATTCCATTACTACGGGGTGAACAGTTTTTCTTCGGTAGTGTTCATTATATGAAAATGTTTGCTCAGTTTTACATTTCTGTGATTTATTTTAACTTTCCCAGTCTCATACCCTAACTGTGCACTTAAGGAGTTTTTACTACTCAAGTTATATGAAGGTTTAGAAATATCATAATCGCTTGGAATATTAAGAGCTAAATTATCTTTCATTTTGAAATCAAGGGACATCTCTGGAGTTTTCTATAGGTACGACTACACTTACTTCAAAGTTTTGATTTTTCGGAGCCTTGTAGATTTGGGCACGGCTCTCTCCAACAAAAGTTCTGTGGTTATTTTGGACATTTTTTATTTCTTCTGTATTTTTCTGCAAAACCAAAGCTGTCTGATGTCTTTCCAGAACCTTCCTATTAGGAAAAAAGAGATTAAGAGGATTGATTAAATGTTGTCCCAATAAAAAGATTGTTTAGAGACTAAACATTCAATATAGTCAAAGTACACAGCCACTGAATTACAAAACTGACCAAGTTTGTCTTCGTGAAAAATAATAACTGTAATTTGTATGAAGACAAGCTATGTTGCCTATTGAACACAGAGTCCAGGGCTGAGATTTTAGTCATTCCAATTATCAGAGTCTCTAAACCCATGAAAATGCATAAGGCAAAGGAGCATTTTGCATCATGGAGATAGTATATTTATGCAGTAGAAATATCATCAGCTGCACAGAAGCTAACAAATGGATTCTTGGATGTATCAGAACTTGCTTGTTAACTTTATAGCTGCTTTGTGTCCTGAATAAAAATGAAATACCCTGAATTTTATCAAACAAGAAAGTTAACCATGGTTGAGTTTATATTTTTCTTATTGGTTTATTGAAAGATCATTTAAAATGTTTTTTAAAAGTCTCAATTTGCCCTTTCCTTTCCTACTCTCTTCTCACCTCTAAAACATTGGACTTTCTTTAGCCTGCTACCTCTCCCTTCCAGTTACTATATATGTGAGAAAAGAGGAAACATAAAACAAAGCCAAAAATAACCAAAAATAACTGCTGTCTTGTATGAAGAGGACATTAGAGTTGAGTTAGTAGCTGCTTTCGTAGTTATCTGCTAAACTCAGAATTTATTCTTCTTAACACAGATCCAGCTTTAACAACCGTCATTCTTCCCAAACTTAGAGTGCACAAAAGATTCTATCCTAGCCATGTCTCTCCTATAAGGCGGAGCCCAGAATTAGACGCAGTACTCCAGTCGTGGGCGCACCAAAGTCGAGTACAGCAGTATCAACACCTCCCTAGATTTGGAAGCCATGCTTCTGGTATACCTCCAAGGGTGGCATTTGCCTTCACGCTGCCGGCTCAGGATCAGCCTGCTGTCGACCGGTACCCCAAGCACTGCTCTCCAGCAGCTTGTCCCCCATCCTGTACCTGTGGCAGCTATTCTGGTGTCCCAAGTGCAATACCTTGCACTTACCCACACTGAATGTCCCCATAATCTCCAACCCTGTTGGGGGAGAACACAGGAGCAAATGATCATTTGACATCTGTACCTGCTCCCTTACATCAGTTACCAGATCCCCACCATCGCTTTCAGTGGTTCCACCTCCTGTCCCCCCTTCCTCTTCCTATTTACATGAAGGCAGAAGAACTTTTTGTCACTCTTAATATTCCTGGCAAGTCTCAGCTCATAATCAGCCTTAGCCTTGCGAAGAATCCTTCTGCAAGGGGCCTCCGCCCCCCGGTACACCCCTTTGTCCGCTTGCCCCAGTGTCCAGTTACTGTGAAGGTCCTTCTTCCTTCCAACCCCTTACCACCTGAACTTGCATTCACGGTGGCCCCCTACCCCGGTGCAGACCCATCACCCTAACAGAAGGGTAAAATACCATTGAAAATAATGCGATTTTGAAAAAGTCTTCCTTGAATAGCTTTGTCTGCACAGCTCATCACTTCTGCCCATTCTAAACACATTGCAACCATCAGAATCATGCCAGGACACCTTGTTTTTGTAACCCTGCCTGGGTGCACTCCCCTAACCCTAATACAGGGTGAAAGTGACATTAAAAAGAGGGCGATTTTGAAAAAGCCTTCCTCGAGTAGCTTTTTCTGCACAACTCAAGATTTCTGCTCATTCTAGACACATCCCAACCATCAATATCATGCCAGGACTCCTCATTTTTCCAACCCTAACCCTACCCTGGTGCACAGCCCTAACCCTAATACAGAGCTAACGTAACGTTCCATTGAAAATAGGATGATTTTGAAAAAGCCTTCCTCAAGTAGCTTTTTGTGCATTGCTCATCATTTCTGCCCATTCTAAACACATTCCAACCATCAAAATCATGCGCGGACACCTCGTTTTTCTAACCCTAACCCTACCCTGGTGCACACCCCTAACCCTAAACACAGGGCAAAAGTTCCATTGAAAATAGGACGATTTCAAAAAAGCCTTCCTTGAGTTGCTTTTTCTGCACAGCTCAACATTTCTGCCCATTCTAAACACATTCCAACCATCAAAATCATGCCAGGACACCTAGTTCTTCTAACCCCAACCCAGTGATGGTGAACCTTTTAGAGACCAAGTGCCCAAACTGCAACGCAAAACACACTTGTTTATCGCAAACACTGCAATAAAACCTGAAAACTGAGGTTTTAGTTTAGAAAAAAACAACTCACAGCCAGTCCAAGCAAATATAGATATGTCTCTGGCAGTGCACTGACTGGCCATGCAAACGTTCGGGCGAGTTGCAGCTACGGAATCGCGGCTTGTGATGTCATTGCCTGGCACCGCTACTCCTTTCCGAGCATGCCCATGGCCCCTATGTACACTGTTATCCAATGCTCGGCTGCTGGGGCGAAGCTGGAGCAACTTGGCTCATGTGCCAGCAGAGAAGGCTCTGTGTGCCCGCTGTGGCACGCGTGCCATGGTTCGCCACCACTGCCCTAGAAGGTCTTAGCCATTATAGGTGACTGCTTGCCCTGCCTGGGCAAGAGGTTTGAGTACACGGTATCTGATCAGGTCCAGCCTTTCTTGGATGAGACTGGTTTCCTGAGGCCATTCCCATCGAGTTCAGTCCTGTTACAGTCCCTGAACAGACTTTGCTCTTCTGTGAGAAGACTTCGGTCTGGAGAGAGCCAGGAGACAGGATAGCCTGAGATCAATTTGCACAAAGCTTTGCAAGGAAAACTGGCCACATCCATGCAGATTGGTTGTCACAGATAAAACAGGTGATTCAGATCCAGCAGATGGCTGCTGCTTATCTAGTTATAACAAATACTCTCTCATTGTAATGGCCAAAGTGAAGAGAAGCCTTGTAGAGAAAAGTCCTACCATCCGTGTGGAATCCTCTTGCCTTTCCTGGCTTTAAACATGAGTAAGGATAATTGGGTGAAAAGGTAAATTAAGGACTGCTGAGAACGTTTGTTATGCCATGCTGAGCAGAACAGATAAACTTTCAGGAGGGTTTGGTTTCCCTTCCTGAGTCTGAAGTGATTTTGTCATTATGTTGAAAGTAATTAATTTCTAGCCAAACTGGCTTGTCTGATTGCAAATAAAAGATTGATTTCTTGTGCTGCATCCCATTTGTCTGAGTTTCTACAACTGAATAAAAGATCCTGCAGTCATCAATTCTTGCTGGTACGATTGATGTGTTACCTGTTGTGGAAGTAAATCTTACCATCTTCTGGAGAGAAAACATGAGAAAATTGTACAGATGAGGAGTCTGCAGTGAATAGCAATCACTCCTTTCATGCTGGGCCCTCCTTTTTTTCCGCAGATCTTTAAGTGGACAGCTATGTTTATTTTATATTATTTCTCAGAGTTAGCAGTCTGAGACAGTACGACTCTGGAGTCTTGTATTTGCCTTTGGGCAGACTATGGTGAGTTTCCAAAATTATGGGAAAGTCATCCTCCTCTATGCTGGTTGGGTGCTCCTTGCTAGCATTAATCCTCTCACTTTGTAAGACTGTATAAACATTCCTGAAGTTGTTGGAATTTGACCGAAATACTGGTGTATATGTGGAATACTTCAGCTCCAAACCAAATTTCAGGCCTTTACTGGGATCCGTCCAGTGCCGTTCCAAGGGGGTTCCCAGAAGCTGACGCGAGTGCTATCATCTCGCTCTGTAGGTTAGGGTTTTGCAGTTCAATCAATAAAATCTTTGAGGTGTTCATCAAATGGACACACGGATGTGTTCACTGCTTCCAAATCCTAAAAAAAAATGGTTGATCTCTGGCATTTTCTCATCGAACAGCTGAGTAATGAAGGTATAAAACACTACTTCCTAAGTAAAGTAAAATTTACCTAAGTCAAAATAAAAAACTACCTCCACCCCACAATGCTTTGTATTCCATCTTTGGAGGTGTAGAGAACTGCGGGCCTATGGAAAAATGTGGAAGGTATTTGGCACATGCTCAGTAGCACCAGCCGCATGCACTTGAGGCCTTTCTCCAACAGGCACCTCGAAGAAAGGTTCGGTTGGTGGCAACAAGGAGAAGGATCTTTCCAGGGTTGGCCCCCATGTTATGGAATGAGCTCCCCACTGAGGGCCACCCGACACCAACATTGCTATCTTTTCAGCACCAGGTAAAGACTGTCTTCTACTACAGGGGAGTTGTTTTTATTCGATTTTAAATTTTGTATTGTCAACTTTTAAATTGGAATGCTCTTCCCAAGGAGATTCGCCTGGTGCCTTCTTTATATTCTTTTTAGCACAAGGTGAAGACCTTCATTTAAAAAAATATTTTAATAGTTAATGCCACTTGACCTTCTGTTCGCATATTTTATTAGCATTGTATTTGAATATGTTGTAATTAGTTTTATCGTGTTTTATGATTGTGAGCCGCCCAGAGGTATTAATGTTAATACAAATGTAATTAATAAATGCATTTATATGTTTTGACTGTATATTTTATATTGCTTCTAAATGAGTTGTGAACTGCCCAGAAAGTTTGGGCTCGAATGCATTCCATGGCCTTTAAGTCCTGATGGAGGCGAGCCTGAACATGGCATTGATAACCCATAGCTGGAGGTCTTGCAAAATTCACACCAGGGCTGCCTTGCCAATACCAGGTCAAGATTCCATAACTGCAACATCAATTATGCTTCTATCTCAGATAAACTCTCACAACACAAGTGGGAAGGCACATCACGAGCTGGTTCACATGATCAAAATAAGCCACCATGCTGGCAGATAAGGCAAATTGTTCATATTTGTATCAAGCGGTTCCTGCAGCCCAATTAAGCAGTTCTATAATCAGATGCTTCCAAGAGAATTCTGGAATTAAAAATGGGATTGGAAGGACTACTACATTTGGCCTACTGACCCATGAGTGATAAAGATGTCTCATTTCCAGGTTTGTCAAATGAGAAACACCAAAGCCAGCCCATCAAAGAATGCTCACTGGCACCCTGTACGGATAAAGGAATCCATACTGAAATTTAGTTATCTCTTTCTCTTAGTATTGTAAAAGGGGTACCAAAAACAACGCATCCAGGTAGGCAATCAGATAAAGTAATCAAAAAGATCATCCCAGTGTCACATTAGCCATTGTAGGAGCATGTGGAAGATTTCCAGCTCTAGACAGAAGGGACTGGAGATTCAGATCCATTCCAAATCAGTTTAAGTCCTGGGTTTGGGGTGGAAAAACCCCAATCACCTGAGTGGATGACAGGGAAAGGATGGGGGCATGCAACTTCATTGGTTCTCTTGGCTGTCTCACCAGTTTTCTCTAACATCAACCATGGTATTCTTCAGGATTTATCACTGGGAGTTAATCTGCGGAATAAATAAACGCTGGATAGGAATGGTTATCCTCTCAGGGTGAAGATCATACAGCTCCTCTCATCTGGAAAGGGCAAAGAATTCACCAACCCTTTTGGCACAGGTGACTGCCAGCAGAAGCCCCCTCTTCCATGTTCATTCCTTGAGAGGGGTTGGAGAGAGGCTGAATAGGTGATATGGCGAGAGTCTAAAACAGTTAACTGAGATCCAAGGTATGGATGGATCCCATGCATGGGAGCTGGAGACAGAAGAACCACTTCCTCCAAAACTGTTTTGCACAACAGCCCCCAAGGTAGTTCCTGATGTTTCTGGGTATCAGAGAATAAGCCCTGCTCCAGACTAGACTGAAGGAAGGCCAGAAGATAAATTAGCCCAGCTTGGAGAGATTTTTGTTCCTCCTCCTCCACCTCTGGAAGACATTCCAAGTCATTTGATCAATTTTGTTGGTAGAAGACTTGCTGGAGGCTAGGATCAAAGAAATTGAGCCTTCCAAGATGCTGTGAGCAGAATAAACTGCCATTATTCAATTCTCACATGCAAGGTTGGAACTATTCCAACTGTCCATGGAATGGGGACTCTGGGTCAAGAGGGCAGGACAAATCAGAAGCTTCTCGGGAGGATCGCTGAGGCCTCTGAAAATGAGATGGCGAGTGTGGCCCCTGATGAGTTATCACAGTCACCTGAGCCTTCAAGTTTTCTTGCCTTCCTCAATACCCTGGTAAATAAGAAAAGGCTAAGGAAGGCTGAGCACCGAAGAACTGAGGCCTTTGAATTGTGGTGCTGGAGGAGACGCCTGCGAGTCCCTTGGACTGCAAGGCAATCAAACCAGTCACTCCTAGAGATCAACCTTGACTGCTCTTTAGAAGGCCAGATACTGAAGATGAAACTCAAATATTTTGGCCACCTAATGAGAAGGAAGGACTCCCTGGAGAAGAGCCTGATGCTGGGAACAACTGAAGGCAAAAGGAGAAGGGGGTGGCAGAGGATGAGGTGGCTGGATGGGGTCACTGGGACGGTGGGTGTGGGCTTGGGTGGACACTGTGGGATGGTGGAGGACAGGAAGGTCTGGAGGAACGTTGTTCATGGGGTTGTGATGGGTTGGACATGACTTCGCAACTAACAACAAACAACAGGGAGACACACTGATGGTCTCAGTAGCCTGGAACCTTGACACAAATTGAGGTACCTTCTGGTTGGAGGCATGGGCCAAGCGGTCAAGGACTGGGGTCCACCAGATCCATGTGATTTTCTCAAACGACTAGAGATTAAGGCCCCAATCTCCCTGTTGTATGGTGGTAATTCCAATTCCAAACGGGCCAATTCTCGCGCTCAGCCTGCGAAACTTCAGAAAAAAGCATCTGTAGCAACTGCTTCTCTCAGGGTAATCCTTTGGCCTGATGTTCTGGGCTGGTTCACCAAGGGATGGAGGCAGACATACCCAGAAAGCTCAGGATCAAGTGCACCTTCTGAGCAATGCTGAATTGATGAAGGGGAAGGAACCACTGAAGCAAGTGGTAGTGGAAGCATGTCCATGGAAACAAGTCTGTTACTGCAGTCCTGGTCTCCTGCAGCTAGGCAAGCAATGTCTTCCTCGTGGACGAGACTTGATGGAAGCTGGTCAAGGGTTTTTCTGGCTGTTTGGTCAACAGGAACAATTTCTTGACGGCTGTGTCTATAATGTTTAATACTCTGAGCAGAGATGAGAGAACGCTTTTGCTTGCTTACAATGAAACCCTGACATGGCCATTGGCTGAATGGTCAATGATCTTTGTTCTTCTTTGGTCTTGGGAGACCAAAACCTGGAGAATCCTGCTCATAGGATATGACAGAAATTAAAGGATGCTGCCAGGCCAGACAGCTTATAAAAAGCAGCCTTCCCCCAACCTGGTGGCCTTCAGAGGTGCTGTGGCACAATAGGCAGCATACAAATGTTTTAAATAAATAAACTCCCAGAACTCCTATGCAGCAGGGCCATTGACTAGGAATTCTGGGTGTAGCCGGTTGAGGAAGGCTGGCCTATAGCACCTAGTTGTCTTTGGGGATGAGTACCAGAAGCCTTGCAAGCACCCCGAGGAGGGAAAAGAATCCAGCAGAATGTCTTCCTTGCTGCTTTCCCTCCCAACCAGGGCTTGACTGAGTGTGCTGCTGACAGACGAAGCATCAAGGCTTGCTTTGATGGTGAGAGAAGGATGAGGTATGATGCAAGGAGCTGAGAGATCTGCTTTTTGCCCTAAAGCCATCATCCCTAGAGTCAAAGGGAAGCCCACCTTTGTCCTTTGATTCTGCCAGATATGGAGTCAGGCCATCCACAAACAACTAAAGAAAGATGTTGCAAAATTGCCGTCGACCTCTGCACAGCTTCAGCTACAAACCTTTCAGCCACAACTCTAGCAAAGTATTGCATCCAGTCCATGGAAGAGTCTGAAGGAAGCTCCACTGTTCTAATTAGGTTGAGACCTTTCCCAAGGTGGCTAGAGGTGCGTGGAACCTCGGGCAGCAGCTGGTTGATCATGGAACTGGTAGCAGCAGCTCTGATGGTCAGAGATGGAGTTTCATGAGCATGGCAGAGTGTGGCTTTGTTTTTTCTGCCAGACTGGTCACAGCCTTGCTCCTTTCCTGGTAATAATTCCTTTAGTAATTAAGCCCATGAACTATCATGGTATCCATGGTATCTATTGCAAAAGAGTGTATCCTTTTAGCCAGAGACTGAATAGGCTTCAGCCTGAGTGAGTCATTCTGTTCAGATTCAAGGACACTCCAGAAGCATTTGGAGCAGAGCACTAAAGAGTCGAGCAGAAAACCAGAAGCAAAAAACTGTGCAGCACTTTCTGCAAATAAGTCCCCACCAAAGCCACTGCTGAGGTTTGAGCTCCTCCATGGCCTTAGAACAGGTAACAGGGGAAGGCACCTGTTGAAGTGGCTTGCACTGAAGCTGGGTTGCAGGTTCATAGCTTGTGGGTGCTGCCTGATCCCTCTGTCTCTTTAGGCTTAGGTAGCCTGAGTGGAGTCCCTTTGACCAGTTTCAGCTGGAGACCCAGCTATTTATTTATTCTTTATTTATTTATTTAAAACATTTGTATCCCGTTCTTCACAACAGCATCTCAGGACGGGTTACAAGCTATGCCACTGCTTGGGCAGAGATAGCCCAATGTTAGTAGTCTATACTATTCAGATCCATAATTGTGACAAAATTCTGAACAGAGAGGAATAATTCTGACCCGCTCACACTGGCTGCTTATATTCTTCCAAGCCTAATTCAAGGGACTGATTCTGAACTATGAGGCCCTACAAGGCTTGGGACCACAATACCTGTTCGAATGCTTCTCCTGACCTGAATCTATTCCAATACTACACTCTACCTCTGCAGACCTTCCTGTACTTCCGGGCAAAGCTCAGAGAAACGCAACAAGCAAGACCTTCTTTATGCTGACCCCATGATTATGGAACGATCTGTTCACTGGGCCTGCCTGGCCCCACAATGTCAACTTTTCAGTGCTAGGTTCAAACTGCCTTCTGTTCCCAGGCTTTTAAGGGCATACGATGAGACTTTAAATAAGCTTGGTTTTTACTGAAATGCTTTTAGCTGTTTAAACTGCTTTAAGATTTGAACACTGTTATTTTATTATTTATATCCTCAGTGTTTTCTTACAACAAACTCAACTTACATCATTCCCTTCCTCTTGCTCTCAATCTTATCCCCACAACAACAGCCCTGTGAGGTAGGTTGAGCTGAGGGTCTGTGTCACCCAGTTGGCTCCACTGCCATGCAGAGGGGCTAGAACACAGATCGCCTGAGTCCCAGTCCCGCGGTCTTAACCATGATTTTATGCTGCATTTTATTCTTTCTATTGCCATTCACTCTTTTTTTGAGTTGTTGTGAGCCGCCTAGGAAGCTTCTATTGTTAGGCAATACAGAAATAAAACTAACAATAGTAAAAATATAGCAAAGATTCTAATCTATATACCACCCTGACTGCCATTTTTCTGGCAGAAAAGTGGAATACAAATAAAATAAAGGGGTAAGTGTTGTGTAAGATGAAATACAGCTCAACAGAATCTGTAGCCACAACGCTATGCACGTCTAAACAAAAGACTTACAACTGGTAGCAGCTGTAGACCTTTTGCTGTCTAAACATACTCAGGATTACACCCTAAAAATCTTCTCCATCAGCATGCAAATATTTTGCTATCGTTTCCTTCTGGTCTAGGAGACTGCAAGTTGCTGGGATGGGGTATGCTGGACTCGTGGTCCTTTCCCGGTCCCAATCCGCACAGGGCTGCAGCCTAAGAATCTTTGGACCAGCCCGCAAGTGTTGACTATCACGTCTTTCTGGTTTTGGCTACTGGGATCTGTTCGGCTGTAGGAAGCCAGGTGCGGGATGATGGGACTTGCGATGCTTTCCCCTGTGCAAACAGGCTCAGAACCGTTCCCCCAGCATGCCAGGATTTTCACGTACTGCCTGCGGGGCTTCGGCGCTGCTCGGGTGGGCCACGCTGGGGGGAGATGCCGCACCCGCCACCCCTTCCCTGCCTCAATGTGCTCAGGATCCAGTCCTGTGATGCTGGCGGAGGGAGGCGCTGAAAGGGAAATGGGCGGGAAAAGGCGCCTCTTCCCAAGGCGAGGGGGCCCCCGAGCGCTTTTTCCGGGGGGGGGGCTTTGTCTCAGAAGCGGGCCAAGTGGGACAGAGCGCCCCCCGTCTTCCCCCCCCGGAGAACCTGCCCCCCACGCCCTCGCTGCTCCGCCCGGGGAAAGGCGCGGGCGCCGAGGGGCGCCTACCTACCTACGGCCAGGCAACAACGCGCAGGGG